GCGTATTGCCTCTATTGGACCTTATGAAACTTATGTTCGCTCCTTTCCCCTTGTTCACAATACAGTCAGGTCGCAGTGCATTAGGAACGAGGGGAAAGGAAAGAACATAAGTTTCACATCACGTTCTGGCAGTAAGCTTCACAGCAGAGACGTTCGTGAACGTTTCTCAGCAATTTGATGGCGCCGCATCGTGGAGCACGCAGATGTCCGTTTCTAAACAGTTGAAAATCGATTTTTTTTGCGGTATCAAGGAACAATCCAACAAGAGAGTTATATACATAATCATGTTTACATTCATGTTGTATCGTTATAACATGCACTAGTACACTGCACAACGCATTTTTTTCCAAACGCTGTCACAGTACAGCCCCATTAAAAGTAAATCTTGTCGACAGCATCATACATGTATGTCTTTATCAATTTAATGAAGTCATTGATTCTATCAGCTAGCCTTATTATCTTCATGCAGTAATTAAGGATGTTGATTAAATTGGAAAATTTGTTCATGTTACATGTAAATGGTAATCAGCTAATTGCTTGATAATTGTTGGGTTACGAGTACATGACATACAGTAGTTTGGGTGTTTAGTCGTTTAATGGTGTCATAATTTTATTTTACCAGTGGCAAAAGGTACAAGTCCTGAGTGCCTTCCAAACTTGCACTCTAGAGTCTGGGCAGGAAAACTGGCTTGTGTCGCCCCCTATCCCCCTGCCGCCAGAACTCCCTTCAGGTGCATTATTACCATTGCGCATCCGTGTATCTTTCCTTATGCACGCCTGCGACTATACACAATACAGCTTGGACGAATGCAAGAATTACATTCAGCTGTATGCAGGGTATTTCCCGCCAGGGACAAATTCTATCAACGCATCCAGTCTAGACGCAGTCAACCTAATTCAAGATATCCAGCTCCGTTCTCCGGGTGCCCCTGACAGCGTCGACGTCGTGTATAACGCCAGCGCCGCTCGTGCACAAGGTTCCGTGACAGACCAAATACGGATTGCTCTTCGTGACCAGGGAAGTTGTACTCAAGGCCTGTCCGTATCCGTTGCATACTTCATTTGCATGCCTATACAGGGAGTGCTAGTATCATTCCCCAAATCATTCCCATCTACTTCGCCAGTGCAAGGCTCGTGTATAAGTGGGGCGCATCCTTCCAACCCGCCTTTGCAGCGAGTTTGCTCTTTTGACGGATCTTGGTCACCTCAAAATGGAAGATGCGTTTGCAAACCTGGGTACATAAGGACTGCTGCAGGCTGCGTCGGTATGAAGGGCATATGATCAGTCTAACCTTTTACTAATTTTTTGAAAAGAAAACAGTAGTGCCTTCCTCCAATCCAATTGAAAGCCATAAGTACATGCAACATAATATTATATTTGTTCTACAAAGTACAGAATATTGAAGAAAAAGTAGTGCCGCATGTCACTGAGTTAAGTGTGGACTTTAAAAAGCTACACATAAGGCACGCATAGAGTATTTAACCATGTACGGTTTACAGGGCGGTACTCAGTTATTGAATTCAAACATTCCTTATATTCCATAATTTTTATCACTCTCTTGTAGTTTGAAAGCAATTAACCACCCAGCTATTAGCCGTAATTTTTGTTTTAGGAAATTGATGATTGTATATCTGTTCTTCCATGCTTCATTCATTCCTATTTCCGACGTATATATGATATGATACCATGCATGTTATCTTTAATAGCATAGGCCTACCTCTTATTTCACCTAATTACAGAGACCAGTCCTTGCGAGTCGTACCCTTGCTTCAACGGCGGCACGTGTCATGAAGAAAATGGCGGCTTCCGNATTAGCCGTAATTTTTGTTTTAGGAAATTGATGATTGTATATCTGTTCTTCCATGCTTCATTCATTCCTATTTCCGACGTATATATGATATGATACCATGCATGTTATCTTTAATAGCATAGGCCTACCTCTTATTTCACCTAATTACAGAGACCAGTCCTTGCGAGTCGTACCCTTGCTTCAACGGCGGCACGTGTCATGAAGAAAATGGAGGCTTCCTGTGTGAGTGTTCAGTTGGATTTGCCGGACAGACTTGTGAAAATGGTAATTAATGTACTTTAAAGAGAGCTTTTATTCAATGCGTCTATCTAGTTCGCTTAAACATGAGAATGATCATTTATAAAGAATTTAATATTTTGGGGTTCCTTTACCGCAATAAATTCTGCTGATTCTAGGTTTTTTTTTTTTTTTTTTTTTTGGGGGGGGGGGATACAAGCCTTTAATAACAATTAGTGGGATATTTTGTGATTTCATCGTGTTTCGTTTGTTGTACATTCTTAGGGGGGATACTGCCTAAGCTAAATCACCACCCCCTCTTATCAGTGCGTCATTGATAAAGATTTTCTTAATGTTTCTTTCTTCCAGCAAATGGACCCTGCACCCGCAACCCGTGTTTACATGGGCAGTGTTCACAGTCTGGGGTGGACGGGTACAGCTGTTACTGTCAGGATGGCTGGATGGGGACCAACTGTGACCAGAGTGAGTTCAAAAGTATCCTACCCGGGATTTTTCCCACTTATCCGAATTTTTCTCGAAAAAAAGCAATATTTTTCTCCTCCTCAATTGTATCATTGTTCGATCTGTTCCTGCGGTTGATTTCGATATCTTATAGTATATTAATTAAATTAAACGATTTAGTTCTAAATGACTGAGGACTTGTACCGCTAGGTCTTCCTGTACATTTAAGAAGGAAATATATACCAGTATATATATATATATATATATATATATATATATATATATATATATATATTGACATAAGGTATTTTTATTAGAAGGGTTTGTACTTTTTAATGTCTGAATTGGAAAATGCAAGTAGTTTTGCAGGACACGGTCTATATACCGTCTACCAGGGTGACAGATATTAAAGGCAAATTTCATAAAAGCCAGACAACCAAATGACCGTCTATTTATCTAAAGACATGTCTGTGAATATTGTGTGAAAAATCAACCTGCCCTCCTGGTAGATGGCACTATATATAGACATAAAAATATTTACAATTTATTTCTAAAACATATTTCACTTATTCCTTCCCCCCCATATATTTGAGCCTTTCAATTTCTCTGGCTTATCACCAGATCCTCTCAAACAAAGTGGACTCGATGGAGAGATATCTCAATTCTGTTATGGTTTTCTATTTTCTACTGTTTTCCCTTTTTTCTTAGAGGACCACTGCTTCCGACAAGAATGTAGCGGCAATGGTTACTGCTTGAACAAGCAAAATACTTATTCTTGTCAATGCCAGTTAGGTTTTACTGGGCTAAATTGCCAAGGTAAGTTGAAATGCGCATCGATTGATTGAAAATAACATCAAAGAAATGTTACTTTTAATGCAATCTCCAAGATAACTTTGCTCGTTTTAACTTGTTCAAGGCGCGCCGGGTGCTGCAGGCGGTACAATTCAAACGCATATATACTAATATGGTGCTGTTTATCGTTGTTTTGAAATGACGGATAGGCTACCGAAGAACATTTTGATTTTGACTTTAAAAAAATGTCAGTTTGCAGACGGTTGGTTCTAAGTACTGCAGAATTGATAGCTACTGGTAGGATTATGATTGGTGTTAGGCCCGTTAACCTCGTGACATGCAAATTGTTCAGCCAGGAGGCCTACGCAATACTAAGATATCCAATGGACAATTAAATGGGGAAGAGTGTGGAAGCGTGGGTTCATCTTTTGACTAAGGTTTTATCATGTTGCACTTCTGTTATAAAAATAGACAGCTTCACATAAACATTTTATTTTATTCCAGACCGAGTGTGTGACTTGGCTACCTGTTACAATGGCGGATCATGCATACCGGATTCCTACGCACCGGATGGATACAAATGCCAATGTACGGAGGATTTCGAAGGATTGCAATGCCTGGACCGGATCCAGAGTAAGTAGGAAAGCAACGCAGAAAGGGGAGGGGTCTCTTTTACAGATAATCCTTGATAAAGATTTTCAATCCCAAACACAACTTTCCGCCTTTTAAAAGGGGATCTTAGATGAAGCGGTGCAGGTTTTAAACACCAAGCAAACAAACAAAACTTTATTCTGAATATATCATTATTTTAAAAAAATGATTAAAAGTTTTCCTAGTTCGCTGTTATGAGTCACAGATGTACCTGTAGATGGATAAGAAAAAACTTACGTCAGACTCTTTTCTGATCCCAAAATCCTTATAAATTAATAAATTCAGAATAGAATAATTTGCCATCCTGTATAAAGGAGCTTGCAGAACACCATGGCCTAATTAAGCATATTCGTTTTTCAGGGTGCACTTACACCGTCAGAGTTGAAACCTCTAGGGCAGGTAGAGCAGGAACAGATGAGCGCGTGGTTGTTACACTTGGGGTTCAAAAATTTGGGGAGTTGAAGAAGGCACAATTCGAAGTGCAGGGAGATTTTGAATATGGAAAGTAAGTCATTCTTTATTATTAGGTTTTTGAGAGATTTGAGTTCTTGAAATAGCGCCATACATTTGCAGTTTAAATTACACCCACGGATCTTTTTCATGAGTAATGGCAAGTGGTGGCAAGGCGAAGCAAAAACTATTCCTCTTAAAATTTACCATGCAGTAAATATATTATTTTTTCGCACCAATTATTTTTAGTGTTTGTTTTTAGTGTGGATGAGGCCACAAAGACGCTCCCCCTCTGTGGTTCACTGAGACAGATTGAGATTCACCTGAGACACGATAAAACAAACTATTTAAACATAAATGATTGGAAACTCCGCCAGGTATTTCTATTTCTGTTGTAGTTGAGTAGTGTGAAAATCGAATAGCGATTCTTTCTTGCGGTTTTTTAAACACGCATTTTAAACTTTTCACAGCTGCACTGACGTTATAGACCGCGACTTCATAAGTCTCTCTCTCTCTCTCTCTCTCTCTCTTTCTCTTAACGTGGCGTTTATTTAATTGATGTCAATGTCAATTTAAAAACGGTACATGTGTCACTTAAATATACTTACAAAATAAATTATATTAATTCAATTGTTCATTAAATGTTTTAATTGCAGGTGGCAGTGATCGTAGATGACAACATCATAATCAAGAAATACGTCTGTTATTTTAACACTTGGTTTAGTCCCGGAGATTACAAATACAGAGCTTGTTCATTGCTTTGATCTACCGGAGCCACGTGTCACTTTGCTGAGTTTGTATACCACCGTACGGCAATAAGAAGATGGGTCGATGCTTCACAGCACATTACTTTTTTCTGTACGCCGTTTGATTATAGTATCAGGCATGGATAGATAAAAACTTTGTAGAGTACTGATTTTAAGTGCCTTTGTTTCAAGCCAGGTGCTCATTGGCTCAATTTCTTTCTTAGTATTTGCACTTCATTTTACCAATAGCACCATAATTTTGTTGTTGATGGAGCGGAAGGTTTAGGAATTGCAGAATTGCTTTATCAAATATCTCCTTTAACTGTGCACATGCGACCACCGTTTTAACATTAATTATAATGACACCGTTGAGTGCCACAGGTACATATTTGCGAATATTCTTGGGAAGCTTGCTTTTTATTTTATAGTAACTATGCAATACAATGAGGAGCTCAAAAGAGCTTTACGCAAAAGAGAAGATTAATTGTTTTAATACAGGTCGTTTGGTGCACGCCAACCAGCACGTTCTGACGTATATAAAAGGTCACTAGCGTAAAGATTGTAAGATAGGCCTATAACTAAATGTTATGTTATTTTGTTTATTTTTCCGAACCGTAAAGCACTAGTATAAATGTACCTAACGCTATTGTACACTTTCATACTGTCACTATCTAATTATCTTAACGTAATATATTAATTAGTTAAAACCATGAAGGGGTAACAGTAAGAAAATATACCAGGCGAATATTAAATGGTGCATGGTGCCTGAACTGTGGCATACTCAAAAAATGAAAACGGTCATCCGTGTCCATTTGTTTCAATAAATTCTGTCTCCGCAGTCAGTATAGATGTAGTTATTTATTGTTCATCAGTCCACGCGGCCTTATCGACGTCTAACGTCAAACAATTTATGAGCTGTATTCGATAACAACAAACTGTTCTTTTACAATCTCCTTTTTAATTTCTCCTTGTCAGCACGGGGTTATTTGGCGTAATGGAATCCGTAATGAACCTTTTTTGAATGTACAGTTGCTGTGGATATGAGCAGTATTTTTACTCCAATGATCGCTCTAAATCCAATCTGATGAGCGGATACAGGTTGATTTTATTATTTATTGCAATGCACTTTCTAATTTCTCGTGAATAAAACTCATCATGGTTTGCTCGAAATAAACCCCATCTTTCAATTCACTTCACCGATTTTCAATTGACTTTCAGACCACCGATTTGCAAAGTAATAATACAAGGGCGAATTAATTGCAGTACCGTACAGAGCAAATTCACGTTGGCTTTCGCAGGCTTTAACATGAAAATGTATAAAGAAAACCGCGAATCAGTTTTTTATTATGCTACAATATTCTCCTATTCAGCTTCATCAGTGAAAGAGACAATATGTGGAGGCCAACTGTAACGCGTAACTTAAGGTGTGCAGTCACCCCTCCACTTTTGCAAACCTCCCCCCGTCACCCCTTTTTTAAATCTACCTGTACAAAAAATAATGTACAAATTAAGGCATTACGTCATAGGCGTAGGACCCCATCGATTTATATGCTTGGGATAATTATAAAATACTGGTAACGTTTTTGATGTTCAAACACTCGTACACACTTTCAGAACACCTGCAGTCCTGCGCGGTTGGGCAGAATATATGGAATAAAACTAACGGTACAGACGCGTAACCTATTATTAGGAGTCCATAAGTTATGAAGCAAAGTCGGGGACGCCTTGCCAAAATAGCCTGATAAAACGAGATCTGATATCGCAACCCTTGAACACTGGGCTGTCTCAAGCAAATAGCCATTACGACAACCATTGCAACAACCGACCCGAATAATATGACCCACTTCCCGCAGCTGGGAGACAGCAGACGACCGTGGTCCATCTTGTTGATTTCGTTCAGCTGGTCTACGATCTGCCAAAATAATACTGCGGTTGAGCTTATGCTGACAGTGACGATCCAGTTGCGATCGATCGGCCCCCCGTGCCAGTGAGAGTAGTACCCGGATGTTCGTTCCACCGAGTTAGAGAAGACAGAGAGTGCGAAGTCCCAGCCGTGGTCCGCGTTGTGTGACCCGGCTACCGCCAGTCTCTCAATCTCTCTTCTCAGCTTGGCGTACGATTCCTGAAGCTCGAGAAACGCAGCAGATATGAGGAGCCAAGGAGGGACAAAAACGGATGCAATTTTCGCGATCTGGGTAATCTGCCGTAGCCAGTGAATAAACGTGGCGCTCTTGGGCGGCAATCGGAAGGCATGGGCGTAGAGAAGAATCGCCAACGACCCCACGTACATTATACGGACCACAAAGGAATCCACGTCGATCAGCGTGTCAGTTTTTTCTCCACATGAACCGTTCTCTCAACACCACCGCCGCCTTGAATGGTCCGAAGTTGCTCAATCTCTGTCGGAACTTACGGAGTACATAGGCTCTGTTTTGAAGATAGAGGGCCACCACCATTGCCGCCGCGCCGTAAGCAAGAAGGGGGAAATAGAGCAGCAGCATGCAGAGCAAGCTCACCCCATAGCACTGGGCTCGAGTAAGCCTCTCCCATAGAGCGGGGTCGGCGACGCTCATCAACCAGAGGTCGGGTCTTAAGTTCTGCCCTGTGCCGCAGTCCAGTGCCGTGTCCAGGACCTGAACTCCCACGTGCGTGCCAAGGTAGAGAAGCAGAGCTACGGTGTAGGAGGGCGTGACTGGGGGCTTGGACAGGGGTGTGGCGAGGGGCGTGGCCTTACCACCGACACGCCTATACGTCGGGATGAAATATGGTATTTTGAAGCGCGATAGTTTACGAAGCCAACGCAGAGCCTGGAAGGATTGGTTGAAGACGATGAAGTGTACTAGCACGTACAGCACCAGCTCTTTCACCCTGTCAGCCTGGCAGCCTTCGTCACTTACAGAAGCGTGGTTATTTTTGAACACCACGTGGTCATTGTCCATCATGCATATTAGGGCTAGAAGTCCGTGTCCGTAGCAGTATCCCTGACTGATCATTGAACTGACCATCCAAGCCCAGTACTTAAAGTGTCCTTTGAAGGTCTGTCCATTTTGCCCTTTGTTGAGTGACCTGTTTGGTATATTTTCCAAACTGATCGGCTCGTCGGCTTCAAGAAACTGGTCAATTTCGCTTTCGCTCACGTAACAGAAAGGATCAGCAATACCGAAATGAGAAAGGAAAAGTGTGTTTTTATTCTCTTCCGCCAAATTGTCTTGGTTCGGCAAGTAAGTCGCAATTGAAACCCTCTGTTGCTCACTGATATCAGTCATTCTTCTTCCCTAACCTTCCAGTATATTTTAGCAATGTTTTCGCACTGGACTGAAGACATTCACTTCAAAACTTAAACATCTGTCACACTCGTTATACTACCTAATACTGTCAGACATTATACTACCCAATAACTCCGGTTTCTTTTGTACGCAGCAACTGGTGTAGATCAAGATGTCGCCGTCGTTCATATCTACGCGTGATCTGAAACCAGAGGTTTTTAGCTTTTCTGTTATATCTATATTTGTCTGCCAGATGTATTGCTTCATCAATGACATTTTCACGGACGATCTGACAAATGGAAAATTGATTACAGCAGTCATTTCAACTTAGTCACTCACATTATTTCAACCAATTAACTCCACGCGACTCATCCTACCGATGAAAACGTATCAGTGTCGGAAACAGGGTCAAATGGTGAAAGTCCTGCGATGGAACGCATTTTTCGACCCGTTACAAAATGTTTTTTTCGCTACGTATTTTTGATTTAATTTTATCTTTTTATTTGTTATTTTATTTATTTACCCATCTCTTTATTTATTCATTCTGTTTTGTGCTAGTACTGTTTATCCTGGCAATTTGTAGAGAGATGTCAAAATTGTTGTAAAATAACCGTTTGTGGAATTGTTTTTTTTTTATTACATTTATACCCAATTCAAGAGACTTCCACCACTGACAGAAAGTTGACTTTACTTTTCAATTATTACGACTTAGAACTAACTGTGAAATCCACAAAGCATGAAATATTGTTTTATGAGTAAAACCTATATATTGCCGTCAAATTCAATTAAATTGACAGAGCACCTTAGATAAATTAATCCACATGTATAGACTTCTTTTGAGGAAATATCATCTGGCACACACACACACACACACACACACACACACACACACTGGCACGCACACACACACACACACAGAGAGAGAGAGAGAGAGAGAGAGAGAGAGAGAAAGGGTCGAATCGTTATTTTCAGAAAAGGATCCAAAATGGGTTGCATAACACTCTTTCGTTTAATCAACAAATTTAAAAAGCACAAATTAATAATAACAATAATATTTTTGTTGCTTTGAAAAATAAAAATGTCCAATAATACGGAGATTCCCAAGGTGGAGAATATATTTGCTTTTCTGGAAATAATCCCAAAAAATCGGGGATGGCAAGTATGTAGCCCTAAGTCCACGTAGCGTTCTGGGTTGTATACGTCTGTGATAATTATGCCTATAAATTACCCTTTTCCTATCCAAAATCCTATTCTTCCAATTTCCGTACTTTTCCATGTTGCAATTGGTTCACTGAGGGGACTGCTCACTATCTTGATTGTGGTATCTATGTCTTGACTTTGCTTGCTCTTTTATCCGTTTTCAGCAAACCAACAATTCGCTCATCAAATAGACTGAAAATGCCTCCTGAAGAAAGATTTAATTGACAAGTTAGCTTTGGCAGATGTGTATGAGGTACTAGTATGTTTTGATTATACTGTATATGGACGTGACAAACTATTTTATATCGAACAGAGATTCCGTCGACAGCCACGCAAGCCACCTTTATGTAAATTAGTGTGATTTCATGACGCTCTTAATTACCCCATATTGCATTCTTTACCCACATCAGTGACTGGGAAGTATCAAACATCCCCTCTTTTTTAATTGGCAAACATCATCACCCATATTGCAAAGAAAACATGACAGGCAAAATTTTATAAAAAGTTTCAGTGAGTTATTTGCAATATGCTTTTACCATTTCCGAAAAAGGGATTTCTTCAGCAAGTTGCAGTGTTTTGTTGAGACTGGGTAGTGTCAATGAGAAAGTATTTGTCGTAATATACTACATATAAAAGCATATATGAATACTTCAGCAGTGGTTTGTCCCCGTGAAACTAAACATACTAGCTTACACAACAGAATGCTTGTACATAAACATATGCAATTAAACCACGTAAAACGATCTATTAAACGAACAAAAAAGTGGAAGAATGGCACCAGTTCTAAGATTCTTCTTACTTAACATACAGCAATGGATTCTTTTTAAACTTAATCAGGCTTCAAGAAAACAAAATGACATATATACAAACCAGTATGTACAAACAGCACCCGTGTCCCTTTGAACCGGCCTGGCCGAGTGGTCAGCTCATTGACCAGTCCTCTCGCTGCCTTTCCAGAATATACGGGGTCGAGAATTACCCCAGTAGAGGTACTCACGTCCAGTATGAACTCTGAAGAAAACGAACGGTTGTTCTAGTGGTTGTTCTACGTGTGTATAGAACTGTGAATTGAGATGACAGTACAGAATATCAACATGTACCCTAAGAGTATAGAATGCGTTGGAGAAGGCGCGGCGCTTGGTTTGATTGTGAGGTGTGTGCGGCTAAGTTCCAAAAGTGGAAAGAACTTCTCTCTGTTGTTATACACATGCACTGTAAGACTGAAAAATGAAATTTTAAAAAGTCTGAGTCGACTAGGAGTGATGACTGGTATTTTCGAGACCATAACACTTGGCTTTATGCAGAAAACAGAAAAGCTGGTGACTATACGAGTACATTGGAAATAAAAGAAGGCGTGTCAATCCGTTAATCTCATTGCATTCAGCGAGAGTCCCTGGCGATTTGGATCGATCTACTTAGAACGATATTGTTATTGGGAATAAGCCCATACTCACCAAGCTCTTCCTCTGTGAAGAGACCATACCCATTTCCCTTGTAGCCTTCTATAATGTCAATTATATCCCAGGACTTCACGTCTGTTATCCCAACGTCCTCCAGTGACGTGTTGATTTGATTGTGGAAATACTTTGGGTCTGTATAAATATCAACTGCGTGAACTCTGGAAAATCATAACGCTTAAAGGGATAATAACTCTTCGTTTTGGCCAAAAAATGAATTTTCCTGGAGTAAACAACAACTTTCCCGTACTGACCAATGGTTAATGAATCCATTTTTACATTCAAAGTTAGTCCATGTTTTTTTTGCTAAAAAGTTTGTTTTTTGTTATAATCTCTTAAGAGATTATAACAGAGTATATAGCCATCAATGAAGGCCACGTGGTCTAAAGAAAAGCTTAAATATTAGAATAATAGCTATAACTGCCGTTTTTCTTGTACAACAGAATATATTATATTTCTATGAGTTGTTCTTAATGTTTTATTGTGAAATATAGATCTCATACGAAGGGTTTTTATCCCTTCAATTATTTCTGTATTTGAAGGTTCCCTGTTCGAGATTTTTGTACCCAAACTAAATTTTTCCTACTCACTTAACTAAAACTAGTCCTGGGCCAGGCTTAAATATCTACTGGTGCTATAAAAGCATTTAGATAATTTTCTTTGTACTATCATTATCATTATACGAAAAACTTTTTCAGAGACAGACCCCCCCCCCCCTTTTGAAATTGCTGGCTACGGACCTGATATCCAATGCTCAATAAAAATGTTCAATAAAATATTATTATTATTATTATTATTATTAACATTAATTTACCTTAATTTAGAACCAGTTAGATAGTTACCCAATGCCAGACCTGCTGCAGTGCCTCCACTTCCGGAGACGACAAGGTCATCAAAATCTTCCTGAATGCCCTGCAATGGGGTTATAAGATTACTGTTCGTTAGTGTAAAATCATGGACTTGGAGATCATTCATACAAGAATAGACACGTGTATAACTTTATTATCTGACCGTTGATGATCGTGTGGTGTTTAGATTTCTAAGTGGATCGGCCAAATTTGATCCGCGGATCAGTAAGTCCGCGGACCAATTTGTTCTGTAAACGCCCGAAGGTGTGTTTAAAACCCTACACTTTATCACTTTAAAAAAAATAGGACCACGGCTATTTTAATATTCTTCTGCCAAGGTACCCTGTCTGAGCACACTGTAGTATCAATTTTTACCTGATACATCATTTCCTGGAACGCTGTTATATATCCAAACAATCCGATGGCATTACTTCCTCCGATTGGTATGAGGTACGAATCCTCCCCTCTTTCATTTCTGAAAAAACAAACAAACAAACAAAAACAAACAAACAAACAAACAAACAAACAGCGAGTTAGACAGAGAAGGTGACTACTGAGGCTGCCTTCAACTTTAAAAGCCTAAAATTTTGTCTTTCTTTTCAGACAAAACATTTGATCTACTTTATCACTATGTCGTCTGTCTTGTTTCCCAAGGCCTGTGACTGTTTCCGTCAACTTTTGCACTTTCTAAATTAAGTATATTCGATATAACACTGGTGTGTGTGTGTACCCTAGCTGGTACGTGTACCTTCAATGATTATTTATGTAATCGGTCCAGCTCTTCTAAATTCCAATAGCCTGATTCTGCTTTGTTAGCCAGCAAAATTACATAACCTTCCTTAAATCCTAGGATATTTTTTCATAAGATGTCACACTCTAAAATTTACTTTATCTGACTGGCTATCACCTCCATTTTGGGCCTTAGATGGGTCAGGTAGGAAGAATTCTTTGGTACCACATACATTTCTGCACCACAGAGTCTACTCAGCAGCAAGTTACCATCATAACCGACGTCCCCCTCATTCTGTAGAAATATATATCTTCATTTCGTTTACACGTTTCAAGTAAATTTATTTTCAATAAAGTCGGATAACAAAATTATTTGGTACTGCCATAATCTTTATGTATTAATTATTTACAGAATGTTTATGCTGAGTAAACTGTTATGATATTTTTTATCGAGTCAGATGCAACTAGCCGATATTTTAATCAAAGAGTTGATTTTTATTTACACTAGAATATATTACAAATTCACCTTAATGCACGTGTCACCACTGAGCACTAGATGGCTCTGCAACCCAAGCTGAGCCGCAGCTACTGCAGTTGCTCTGGCGTGATTGGACTGAAATTCTCCACACGTGATCAAATGCTTGCAGTCTTTGGCCAGGGCATCTGCCAGGAGAAATTCTAACTTGCGCACCTGTAAAGAATACTTGTAGACCAACAACGTCACGAGACGCAAGTGAAGATATGGTGCTGAATTGTCACCAACTGTTTATACATGTTCATGCTACCTAGAGTTTGCAGATGGACGACCCACTTAGAAGAAATGCCGACTTATCATCTGGTGGTCTCCCCGCCCCTACACGCGCCGTCCCTGCAGGAGCCTAGCCGAAATTTAATGGCGTGTCGGGACACCATCAGGGGATTAGGCGGCTTGATTATAAGTGGGGTCGGTCATATTTAATCCGCGGATCAGTTAGTCCGAGGGTATTCTGTTCTGAATGTGCTCTAAGAGACGATACACGCATATTTTTGTTTTCAACTTGATTCAAACAAAGAATCAGTACATCAGTGATCGTGTTATTTGCAATTTGCCTGTAGTAAAAGAATATTTCCATGCTAAATGAGGCAATGTGTTGTACGAATCTTCTTCACAGTTGTCAGAGGGAAGCCTCCCATCACCAGGAAGAAGGAGGTACCGACTGAGAGGGGTCGCAAAGACTACAAGAACATTAAAAATACATGAGTTATTTGATTAAAAAGGAAATATTTACCATTACAAAAAGAAAAAAACAGATAACTGAGATATGCATCCAAAGAACAGTTATAATTGCCTGGTGGAAAACACAATAAAGTTTTAATCAGTGAGAAAGTTTTAGTTACCGTGTTTTACTTTCAATCAATAAAGTTTAATAGGTAAATTAATTTCGACAGAGGCTTGTCGCCAAATAGTGTTCTCTGATGCGCCAACCATCCCCTCTTTCAACGTCAAGGAAAAAAAAAACAAGTTAAGAGAGTCTCGAGAATTCTGGACTAGGCTATCTGTTTTGCAAATGATTTGTGTTCTATCTGATGTTTAAAGAACTGATGATTTTCTGCTGATGTGTGGAAACATAAGCCTTGGCCACGATGATAAATTGGACCAACATCTGTTTTCCTTTGAAGGAAACATATTTAGGGAAACAAACTACCAGTTTATCTCCCAATGTGATAACTTCAGATCACCCCAAACAGCTACGATGAGAGGTGGAGCTAGTGCACATTATTGCGACCTATCTTCTTCTGAACGCCCCCTTTGCCAAGAAAGATGGTGGCAATATTAACATCATGGGTTTTCCTACAAAATACTATTCTGAGAGGAGAATGCTTTCTGTGTAAGGAGTTGAAACAATTTCCAATGTTATAAAATTCCTTTTGCAGCAATAAATCTTTACTGTGAAAGAAGAATATTAAGAAAAAACAAATAATAATAATAATAAATTGAAACGTTTACATTTTGCATATATTACAAGTTTCAGTATTTATGATACTCCCCTGTACAATGTATGATATATCCCTTCATTGTACAATTTTATGCCATGACAGACATCTNGCAGTTGCTCTGGCGTGATTGGACTGAAATTCTCCACACGTGATCAAATGCTTGCAGTCTTTGGCCAGGGCATCTGCCAGGAGAAATTCTAACTTGCGCACCTGTAAAGAATACTTGTAGACCAACAACGTCACGAGACGCAAGTGAAGATATGGTGCTGAATTGTCACCAACTGTTTATACATGTTCATGCTACCTAGAGTTTGCAGATGGACGACCCACTTAGAAGCAATGCCGACTTATCATCTGGTGGTCTCCCCGCCCCTACACGCGCCGTCCCTGCAGGAGCCTAGCCGAAATTTAATGGCGTGTCGGGACACCATCAGGGGATTAGGCGGCTTGATTATAAGTGGGGTCGGTCATATTTAATCCGCGGATCAGTTAGTCCGAGGGTATTCTGTTCTGAATGTGCTCTAAGAGACGATACACGCATATTTTTGTTTTCAACTTGATTCAAACAAAGAATCAGTACATCAGTGATCGTGTTATTTGCAATTTGCCTGTAGTAAAAGAATATTTCCATGCTAAATGAGGCAATGTGTTGTACGAATCTTCTTCACAGTTGTCAGAGGGAAGCCTCCCATCACCAGGAAGAAGGAGGTACCGACTGAGAGGGGTCGCAAAGACTACAAGAACATTAAAAATACATGAGTTATTTGATTAAAAAGGAAATATTTACCATTACAAAAAAAAAAAAACAGATAACTGAGATATGCACCCAAAGAACAGTTATAATTGCCTGGTGGAAAACACAATAAAGTTTTAATCAGTGAGAAAGTTTTAGTTACCGTGTTTTACTTTCAATCAATAAAGTTTAATAGGTAAATTAATTTCGACAGAGGCTTGTCGCCAAATAGTGTTCTCTGATGCGCCAACCATCCCCTCTTTCAACGTCAAGGAAAAAAAAAACAAGTTAAGAGAGTCTCGAGAATTCTGGACTAGGCTATCTGTTTTGCAAATGATTTGTGTTCTATCTGATGTTTAAAGAACTGATGATTTTCTGCTGATGTGTGGAAACATAAGCCTTGGCCACGATGATAAATTGGACCAACATCTGTTTTCCTTTGAAGGAAACATATTTAGGGAAACAAACTACCAGTTTATCTCCCAATGTGATAACTTCAGATCACCCCAAACAGCTACGATGAGAGGTGGAGCTAGTGCACATTATTGCGACCTATCTTCTTCTGAACGCCCCCTTTGCCAAGAAAGATGGTGGCAATATTAACATCATGGGTTTTCCTACAAAATACTATTTTGAGAGGAGAATGCTTTCTGTAAGGAGTTGAAACAATTTCCAATGTTATAAAATTCCTTTTGCAGCAATAAATCTTTACTGTGAAAGAAGAATATTAAGAAAAAACAAATAATAATAATAATAATAATAAATTGAACCGTTTACATTTTGCATATATTACAAGTTTCAGTATTTATATCACACCCCTGTCCAGTGTATAATATCCCTGGATTTTAATATCTTTATTCACTTTAATATCTTGTTCCCGAACATATCTTGATTTAAGATAAAGTTCGTTACTGACCTTGTTTCCAGACAGAGCACACCCGGTCAGGTCATCTCTCTTAATGTGAACGGAGAACGTGGATGGCACACCCGGTATACTCCACTGGTGAATGGGGGTGGGCAATTGTGCTAACTATGGAAGACAAATAATAATAATAATAATAATAATAATAATTATTATTATTATTATTATTATTATTATTATTATTATTATAAACGACATAGTGATAAAAAAGTATGTTGTAAAATTCGAAATTGACAAAATTATCCAATGAACGTGAACTTGGCCTATCCAGTTTGCGTTTATTTCAGTTTCAAGCAAATGTTCTTAGTTGAATGCAATTTCATATACCGTATTTACCTGTAGACTTAGAAAAACGCCTTTGGATATGCACATCCACATGTTCATGTTCAGCTGTTCAAGAAGGTCTTATTTCTTATTTCATCTATGTTATTACTTTTCTTATTTTGTCAATTTTAACTATATTTAAAAATATATCGATCAGCGGGGTTCTCAAAAGTTTTATTATTGTGGACACTCTATTTACCAGATCCCTTGCAGTCATTATTCAGGACTTAAGTATATATAGCTATAAATTATTCGTTACCTGTACCTTTTGCTTCGGGATGTCCGTCAATTTTTCCGTCCATTCTGGTGGGTTATATTGCACAAGTGGATAAGCCATAGGCCTACTGCAACGTGAAACTTCCCGACTCCAGATAAATGCTCAGAGGTAGGTTATATTACTCAGTCTGACTCGTTATCCTCCTTCCCATTTTTCACTGAAAAGTGCGTGCGGTCAGATGCTTCCCAAGAAAATGACCTCAGTAACATTGCAGTCCGTAACAGGTTACGAGGCAACTAATATTAACCATATCGACGACTTTATCTGCATCTAGCAGCTCTGGTATATTTATTTATTTGAAATTATACAGAATACTTACATTATCGATGGTTTCGTCTGTATAGCTGTGCGGCTGTATAGCTATATTGCAGCTCATATATGGTAATTTCATTTTATTTTATAATTTTCTGAAACTGACTTATTAAAAAAGTTCGCAACTTGGATATCGTTAATTTAGGCCTACCCGTATGCATGATGAAGAAGCAGATGAAGTTTTTTTTATATATAAGTGGGCCTACATGTAGGACTACGCATTTCCATTACCATGGTCCATGACACAATCGCCTGTCGCTATTTAACTGTACTTTTAGTTTCACATAAGGTCCACGAATGCCCCCCTCCCCCCCCCCCCCCTTTAAAGGGACAGGCCCAAAAATGCTGCGAGTCACCTTTTTAATTTATTACATTAAATAATAAATATTTAGGGTACAGCAGGGTGCTTTTACTGAAAAATCAGTAGTTGCTGAGCTGTAGTATTGAGTTCTTAAGACAACATTGTCCATTTATAGTGAGGTAGCCTACTACCGGTAACTTTTTGCATTGCTCTATGGGAATGCACTGGTATATATCCCAAAACGAGACCACCTTGCGGAGATCACAATCGGAAGTAACCTTTGTCACAACTACCACACTGGAAACAGTGGCACATGTCGTTCCACATGTAAACTAGCTGTTTAGATTGGAAACAATAGACTGAAAAGACTCGTTTTTGACGGCATATTGCTGTACTTTTAACGTGTATATATATTGCTGCCCGGAACTCTTTTCTCCAGAGGAGAGAAAGAAATAATCTGAGATAGCATTAGAGGTTAGGAAGAAGAGAGAATGAATGGAAATATATAAGGGGAGTCGTATGATGTGGTGGTGATTCTCTGATATACGTTTCCACCTGCTGAGAAGAAAATGTGTGTGGTAAGTTGCTCTCCATCGCCATGGGCGGATCTGAAGGGGCACGCCTCGACCCCCTCCCCCCCCTCCCCCCACATACACATACACACACACACACGTTTAGATTCCAAGTGTTTTAATGCAAATATCTCATTCAAAGTTAGAGATAGGCCTATGATGTGTACTAGTTAAGTTTATACATTAAATTTGAAGTTTTCCCAGCTTTTTTTTTTCTGAAAGGCACGATAGCGTTTTTTAAGAATTTGTTAATTATACTCTTTGATTTATTTATATAATTTTAATTTTTAAATAAAATTTCATTTATTTATTTTTATTATTATTTATTTATTTTTGCATTTTCCTTTATGTATATGTGCAGGTACTTACTTCTAATTTGCATGGTTATTAGTTTTAGTCCAGTTGATTGAGATCAATTAATTTTGAAAGTGATATCCAAAATGAGGTATAGTACGTTCATTTTGATATACCCAAGTAGGTCTTTTGAAAAAAAAAAAAAAAAAAATCAGGGAGAATTTAATTGTGCCACTTGCCCTTTTTAAAGAATTAATCATAATTGTAAAGAATATGCATGTCCATCTGGTTTTTATAAATATATATTTCTCATTTGTAGTTAAAAAAGCTGTCTTTTTTCTTTTACCCGGGTACTCTTCCTCTCCAATATACACATGTTCATACACACAGACACAGACAGACCTAATCTTCCTAATTGGTTCATTAAACTTGGTGATTGGTTATTTTTAACTGAGCATCAATCGATGTGATTGGTGATTTTTCCCATGAACTGTATCCATATATATGGTGTAAATAATGTAGTCTAGAGAGCCTGCAAATGTATTCATATTATTTAGTGCTCAATAAACTTATTATTATAACCTTGCCCTCCCAATGGGATCTATCTATCCATATATATATATATATATATATATATATATATATATATATATATATACAGCCTTACTGATACACCCTCCCACTTTTCATAGATCCATGTCCTACCAGGTCCTACCAGTGTACAAAGGAATTTTTTAACTTCCAAAGACTATTTTTTAAATATACGCAATTTTTATTTTTATTATTATTACTTGATAAAAAAAATTGCAAGTCAGTACGTTGCTCTGCTCCTTTGTGCTTGAGTTTGTGAGTGATTTATTTGTGACATATTTGTTTTTGGTAAATTTTGCCTGGCCATAGCAGCTGTAATTTTTTGAAGATTTCTGTATCGAAATTTTTTGGTGGATAGATGATAGGCCCAGAATGAAAAAAAATTATTTTCATAAGGATCGTGCTCCCTGTTTGTTTGTAAAAAAAATGCTGAAGTTGTGAAATATTTATCTCTGCATGCCAGTAGGGACCTCAGAGACAGGTGAAGCATATCAACAAATTAACGAGCTGCCACTCTTGTCATTAATCACAGGCCCGTAGCCAGAGGGGTTCAGGGGGGTAGAAAGAATCACCCTTTTTATCAGGAAAAGGTCCATTCTGGGTAAAATTTGATCTAGGTGCACAAAAGTTTCATTGTAAAAAGTCCACTTTTTTTTTGAAAAAGAACCTCCTTTTTGAAATTGCTGGCCACGGGCGTGAATCAAGACCATGTTTGACCAGCTCAAATTTCCAGTGAACTGTTGGTGTGATACATGTATATGTGTGTTGATAAATAGCCTGTCCTGTTTGGCCTCTGGTTATCTAATGTGCAGTGTACTGGTAATGTTATGAATCTATCCAGTCAAGGCCACTCAATTATATTTCCTGGTTTATAGATCTTGGTATCTATACCTGGTATAGGCATACCTTGTCAGTTAAAAAAAGCAGTGCTTAGAAGTATCGAATTCCTTCTTTCAGGAAATTAGGTTTGTCAAGGATAAATGGGGAATACCCGCTTTAAGGGTCTGCCGTTAGATGGCGTGGGGGTGAAAGCAGTCCTTCTTAAGTCTCGCAGTATCCCGCCCACGGCTTTACACCANTCTGAGAGGAGAATGCTTTCTGTGTAAGGAGTTGAAACAATTTCCAATGTTATAAAATTCCTTTTGCAGCAATAAATCTTTACTGTGAAAGAAGAATATTAAGAAAAAACAAATAATAATAATAATAAATTGAAACGTTTACATTTTGCATATATTACAAGTTTCAGTATTTATGATACTCCCCTGTACAATGTATGATATATCCCTTCATTGTACAATTTTATGCCATGACAGACATCTTGTTCCCGAACACGTGATAACAATCGTGATTTTAGATATTCGTTACTGGCCTTGTTTCCGGACAGAGCACACCCGGTCAGGTCATCTCTCTTAATGTGAAGGGAGAACGTGGATGGCACACCCGGTATACTCCACTGGTGAATGGGGGTGGGCAATTGTGCTAACTATGGAAGACAAATAATAATAATAATGATAATAATAATAATAATAATAATTATTATAATTATAATAATAAACGACATAGTGATAAAAAAGTATGTTGTAAAATTCGAAATTGACAAAATTATCCAATGAACGTGAACTTGGCCTATCCAGTTTGCGTTTATTTCAGTTTCAAGCAAATGTTCTTAGTTGAATGCAATTTCATATACCGTATTTACCTGTAGACTTAGAAAAACGCCTTTGGATATGCACATCCACATGTTCATGTTCAGCTGTTCAAGAAGGTCTTATTTCTTATTTCATCTATGTTATTACTTTTCTTATTTTGTCAATTTTAACTATATTTAAAAATATATCAGTGGGGTTCTCAGAAGTTTTATTATTGTGGACACTCTATTTACCAGATCCCTTGCAGTCATTATTCAGGACTTAAGTATATATAGCTATAAATTATTCGTTACCTGTACTTTTTGCTTCGGGATGTCCGTCAATTTTTCCGTCCATTCTGGTGGGTTATATTGCACAAGTGGATAAGCCATAGGCCTACTGCAACGTGAAACTTCCCGACTCCAGATAAATGCTCAGAGGTAGGTTATATTACTCAGTCTGACTCGTTATCCTCCTTCCCATTTTTCACTGAAAAGTGCGTGCGGTCAGATGCTTCCCAAGAAAATGACCTCAGTAACATCGCAGTCCGTAACAGGTTACGAGGCAACTAATTTTAACCATATCGACGACTTCTTCATCTAGCAGCTCGGGTATATTTATTTATTTGAAATTATACAGAATACTTACATTATCGATGATTTCGTCTGTATAGCTGTGCGGCTGTATAGCTATATTGCATGGTAATTTCATTTTATTTTATAATTTTCTGAAACTGACTTATTAAAAAATTTCGCAACTTGCATGGATATCGTTAATTTAGGCCTACCCGTATGCATGATGAAGAAGCAGATGAAGTTTTTTATATATATAAGTGGGCCTACATGTAGGACTACGCATTTCCATCACCACGGTCCATGACACAATCGCCTGTCGCTATTTAACTGTACTTTTAGTTTCACATAAGGTCCACGAATGCCCCCCCCCCCACCTTCAAAGGGCCAGGTCCAAAAATGCTGCGAGTCACCTTTTTAATTTATTACATTTAATAATAAATATTTAGGGTACAGCAGGGTGCTTTTACTGAAAAATCAGTAGTTGCTGAGCTGTAGTATTGAGTTCTTAAGACAACATTGTCCATTTATAGTGAGGTAGCCTACTACCGGTAACTTTTTGCATTGCTCTATAGGAATGCGCTGGTATATATCCCAAAACGAGACCAACTTGCGGAGATCACAATCGGAAGTAACCTTTGTCACAACTACCACACTGGAAACAGTGGCACATGTCGTTCCACATGTAAACTAGCTTTAGATTGGAAACAATAGACTGAAAAGAAGCATTTTTGACGGCATATCGCTGTACTTTTAACGTGTATATATATTGCTGCTGGGAACTCTTTTCTTCAGAGGAGAGAAAGAAATAATCTGAGATAGCATTAGAGGTTAGGAAGAAGAGAGAATGAATGGAAATATATAAGGGGAGTCGTATGATGTGGTGGTGATTCTCTGATATACGTTTCCACCTGCTGAGAAGAAAATGTGTGTGGTAAGTTGCTCTCCATCGCCATGGGCGGATCTGAAGGGGCACGCCTCGACCCCCTCCCCCCCCCTCCCCCCACATACACATACGTACACACACACACGTTTAGATTCCAAGTGTTTTAATGCAAATATCCCATTCAAAGTTAGAGATAGGCCTATGATGTGTACTAGTTAAGTTTATACATTAAATTTGAAGTTTTCCCAGCTTTTTTTTTTCTGAAAGGCACGATAGCGTTTTTTAAGAATTTGTTAATTATACTTTTTGATTTATTTATATAATTTTAATTTTTAAATAAAATTTCATTTATTTATTTTTATTATTATTTATTTATTTTTGCATTTTCCTTTATGTATATGTGCAGGTACTTACTTCTAATTTGCATGGTTATTAGTTTTAGTCCGGTATATTGAGATCAATTAATTTTGAAAGTGATATCCAAAATGAGGTATAGTACGTTCATTTTGATATACCCTTAAGTAGGTCTTTTGAAAAAAAAAAAAAATCAGGGAGAATTTAATTGTGCCACTTGCCCTTTAAAGAATTAGTCATAATTGTAAAGAATATGCATGTCCATCTGGTTTTTATAAATATATATTTCTCATTTGTAGTTAAAAAAGCTGTCTTTTTTCTTTTACCCGGGTACTCTTCCTCCCCAATATACACACGTTCATACACACGGACACAGACAGACACGCACAAACGGTTGCCTCTAGTCTCTCTCAGTATGTTCGAACTGGTAATCAGCAATTTCAAAGAATGATGAATTTTTTCTGAAAATGCATACATTTTTCCCTCCTTTGATTAGTTGGTCCTAGTTGAGGAATGGCAAAGAATGATCAAGGGTTCCATTGGGTATTTTTGTGAAAGTCACTTTTAATTACCCAAGATGGATGAAACGTTCATATACTTCAGCATGATCTGTGAGGCATACCATACTCGTGACATGATTAAAGCCTCATTCAGGACTTCAGAATGAACTTTTTATTCTTCCTAATCGGTTCATTAAACTTGGTGATTGGTTATTTTTAACTGAGCATCAATCGATGTGATTGGTGATTTTTCCCATGAACTGTATCCATATATATGGTATAAATAATGTAGTCTAGAGAGCCTGCAAATGTATTCATATTATTTAGTGCTAAATAAACTTATTATTATAACCTTGCCCTCCCAATGGGATCTATCTATCCATATATATATATATATATATATATATACACACAGCCTTACTGATACACCCTCCCACTTTTCATAGATCCATGTCCTACCAGTGTACGGAGGAATTTTTTAACTTCCAAAGACTATTTTTTAAATATACGCAATTTTTATTTTTATTATTATTACTTGATAAAAAAAATTGCAAGTCAGTACGTTGCTCTGCTCCTTTGTGCTTGAGTTTGTGAGTGAGTTATTTGTGACATATTTGTTTTTGGTAAATTTTGTCTGGCCATAGCAGGTGTAATTTTTTGAAGATTTCTGTATCGAAATTTTTTGGTGGATAGATGATAGGCCCAGAATGAAAAAAATTGATTTTCATAAGGATCGTGCTCCCTGTTTGTTTGTAAAAAAAATGCTGAAGTTGTGAAATATTTATCTCTGCATGCCAGTAGGGGCCTCAGAAACAGGTGAAGCATATCAACAAATTAACAAGCTGCCACATTTGTCATTATTCACAGGCCTGTAGCCAGAGGGGTTCGGGAAGGGGGGGGGGCAAAAGAATCACCCTTTTTATCAGGAAAAGGTCCATTCTGGGTAAAAATTGATCTAGGTGCACAAAAGTTTCATTGTAAAAAGTCCACTTTTTTTGAAAAAAAAAGAAACTCCTTTTTTAAATAGTCGGCCACAGGCCTGAATCAAGACCATGTTTGACCAGCTCAAATTTCCTGTGAACTGTTGGTGTGATACATGTATATGTGTGTTGTTAAATAGCCTGTCCTGTTTGGCCTCTGGTTATCTAATGTGCAGTGTAATGTTATGAATCTATCCAGTCAAGGCCACTCAATTATATTTCCTGGTTTATATATCTTGATATCTATACCTGGTATAGGCATACCTTGTCACTTAAAAAAAGCAGTGCTTAGAAGTATCGAATTCCTTCTTTCAGGAAATTGGGTTTGTCAAGGATAAATTGAATAGTCTCTAAACCACTAGATTTTTATTAATTTGTGTTTTAAACACTAATTTTGCAAGCTGCTTTGCTCTCAGAGCAATTTTATTATTATTATAATCATATATTTATTATTAATAATATTATTATAAACATTTTTATGTTCACTGTACATCATACATATTGTAACTGGGGTGTCAAACAAAATCCTCACAAAAACTGATGGCCTGCATGCATGGTGCATTAATTTACTCATTCATCTGATTAATAAAAATCAGTAACAATTTACAACAAAAATTTTCACCAGAATCATGCAACAAAAGACAGCGCAGGGCATCAGACTTACTGCTCTTAAAACCCTGTGACACTTGGCTACAAATAAAGGGGTGCCCCTGATCCCATTGATAGCCCAAACTAAAATGCCCATTGGTAACCTGTAGACAAAGGACCTTCCACCCCTCAGAATGGGAGAGTCCATTTTTCCAGTCAACATGATCAATGCAGCTTGCTGAGAAAAAAACAACGTCAATGACCTTAAAGATTTTCTGGTTTCACTTATTTAGGTAAAATTCAAATATCCATGTTCAATATGAGAATTTTATGAAATCCCCCCTCTGGACAAATGTGTAGTTTTATTTGAGCAAAGTGTTGTGAGAGATCTGCATGAAAGAGCTCACTAATGTATACAGCCAGGGCATTGAGCTATAAATAGCACCTGTGATGCAGACTGAAGAAAATCATGGTGGAAAAAATTTCTGAAGGATTCCAGAGTCATTTGAAAGAAAACAGTCAAAGGAACAGAAAAAGTGATTTTTGAATCAGGTAGTGTGTTACCTTAGGAAGATATAGAGGTTCAATATGTTTTATTTCATTTGAGAAATTTCTAGAAATTCAATAAGGAAGTCGGCTGAAGGACACAAAGGAAAATTTGCACAAGTGGGTGGGAAGGATAATAATTTTCTACATTTCAACCCTCTGCTAAGGTAGACGCTGGCTAATTATGTTGATAACATCTTACTTAAGCCATTGTAACAACCTGTATTGAAGTGAGGTTGACTTAGAGGGGGCTAGTTTACAAACAGGATTGAATACAAGGATGTCTAATATTATTTTCAATATGGCCTCCGTATAGCCATCTTGTGGTAAATCTGCTAGGTGCATATGCATGGTGACATGTACAATGCTGATAATGTATGTATTCAATTGCTCTGTAGGTATAACCTTTTAAAGATGACCTTTTAATCTGGAAAGACATATCAAGCCACTTGTGCCATTTTGTTTATCACTGGAAGTGATTTTAGTATGTTTGATTATTAGACTTAGTCTAACTCTGCATGTTTCTGTGTGATATATGTATGTTGGTATATATACGGTGTGCTGCTGGATTAAATAAGACCTTTGAAATTTTAATTTAAAAACAGCACTAGGAGAGGACCTCTGTCTGTGGCTTTGATGCTAAATTAATCACAATTTATTTTGAGCTTTAATTATGTTGTCACAGTTTATCTGAAATATTAGTTATACAACATATGGGCATATATTACATATATAGAACTGTTTTACACTTACTGTCTTATGTAATTCTGTAATCAAAGTATTTACCTGAATCAAATAAAATCAGTTCTTGAATTACCGAAATCAACAATTTATTTTAATATTATAATTATAATAATAATAATAATTATTATTATTATTTAAAGCTCAGTATCAAGAAATGAAGATTTTACAAAGAATGCATGTCAATTTTCTGAATAAATACAATGTATACTATGCATAATGAGGTTGATTTCAGTAATTCAGAATTTGATCCCAGTTAATTCCTATAAATACCTTGATTTAGGTAATTATGGAAGTAACCTTAGAATTAGTCATTATTTGCCAAAAATGCCAAAAATCTAAATAGATAATTAGAAGTTATAACAAGAAGACTCTTGGGTGTGTATTCCAGAGGCTACAGTCTTGTTACAAAAGGACAATGTTGAAGTTCAGTATAGAGGCCAGTCTGATACTAGTACACTTCTTGAGATTTATAATAACAAAGATTTAAAGTGTAAGCTAAGGTGATGACCTCACATGTGTGTTCTTGTGTATATTGGTCCTCACATACGTGTGTGTGTGTGTGTGTGTGTGTGTGTGTGTGTGTGTGTGTGTGTACACAATAATAATAATAATAATAATGATAATAATAATAATAATAATAATGTGTTCTGCATGTGTATCTAGTGATATATCTGGTTAAGCTTGTTTGAGTGTGTTACTGTATACCATTTTGTATATAATATATATGTTAGTGTGTGGCAACTATTATAAACTTGTTTACAGTATGTGGGGCATTGCTTTCTTTGTGTGTTGTAATGCTAATGTGTATATGTGCGGGTGTATATATATATATATATATATATATATATATATATATATATATATATATATGCATTTGCAGTATATAAAAATTGAGCGAACTAGCCACAGTGAAATAGTCACAGGGCCATTTTTTATTGATCCTCATGATTTTATCCATGACATTTGGTTTTTAAGCTGTTAAAATATTGAAATAGAATACTGGTAAGGTCTTAGTCCTCTACTTGAGTGCGCTGAGCCGAACATAGTAAATACCCAACTTTGCAGAAATGTCTCCAGGGTCTCTCTAAACACATATACATTCTGAAACAAATAAATGTATTTTGGGTTGAATATTGTGAAATATTGATCAGATATTACCAGTATAATAAAATGGACTTACACTTTTGAGTGTTTTTGACCCTTCCTTTACTCCTAAGACTTCTAAATTATTGCTATGTATTTAATTTTGTGATATCTTGAATTTGTAATTAATTCTTTTCACTAATACTATAGTATATGTGCTTGACTATTTATAACTAACCATGTTCATAAAGTCTCTGTGGTTTGTTAAGATGCTAATATAAGGTGTTGTGCACTGTAATGTTTAATGTAAAATTTGTAGTTAGTACACTGAGGATATGAGTGTGGTATTGCATGTTATTTTAGGGTCTGTCTGTGTAAGGTGAACAGTGATTTAGGGCAGTGTAGCTTTCATGTATGTTATATAATCATGGTGTTTTAAGTAACTGTGTAACATGTAGTGCAGTGTTACCATATCACAGTGGACTAGTTACCATATTTCCCACTGGATCACTACAAACCTACCATGGCCCATAGGAGCCTACGCGTGCGTCTTTTAGACGCCCCTTTACATGCGAAAACGACAAGGCCTATGCCGAGTTTGTCTTTTACTACAGAGCTTTGAGAGCCGAAAATGACATGGCTGTGTCTCTTTCGCCACTTACTGAACTCCACAGATGCGAGATTGACACGACCCATGTCGCGTTCGTCTCTCAAATGACACTGTTATAAAACATGAAATAGGCATAACGTGTGATTTTCGCAGCTGAATAAGTAGACCCTTATAAACGAAATTGACGTAACTTGAGAGTCATGTCGCTTTCAACTCTTACAAACCTCCAACAAAATCTATCTCCACACAGACGCGCGCGACATGTACTATTGGACATGGGTCAGTTGAAACCCTATTAACCTAAAGGGCTCATGTTACTTTCAGCCAACTCTTATATGTCAAATCCAATTAATTTGAAACAGTGTTGTGCTGTCCCAAAACATTTTTTTCATTTGAATCCCATCATAATTTAGTGCTATCTAGATAACAGTGTGGCTAATTGCTTGTAATAATTATATGGCCTCATATTTTTATTTTCAAGGATTCAAATATAAAGGGTTTTAAGACGGTCCTTCTGTTTCAAATTAATTGGCTGAAAGTAACATAAGCCATTTAGGTTAATGTCGCTTTCAACTGACCCATGTCCAATAGTACATGTCGCGCGCGTCTGTGTGGAGATAGATTTTGTTGGAGGTTTGTAAAAGTTGAAAGCGACATGACTCTAAGGTCACGTCAACTTCGTTTATAAGGGTCTACTTATTCAGCTGCGAAAATCACACGTAATGCCTATTTCATGTTTTATAACAGTGTCTTTTGAGAGACAAACGCGACATGGGTCGTGTTAATCTCGCATCTCTGGAGTTCAGTAAGTGGCGAAAGAGACACAGCCATGCCATTTTCGGCTCTCAAAGCTCTGTAGTAAAAGACGAACTCGGCATAAGCCTTGTCGTTTTCGCATGTAAAGGGGCGTCTAAAAGACGCACGCGTAGGCTCCTATGGGCCATGGTACAAACCAACATGATGTCATATGTTTTTATGCTAGGTGGAAAGATGTTGGACTTTGAACTTGGATGACCTCAATTTCTCAGTGAATACAAACAATATAATTCACTTATTTTCCAGGGCTGTATTAGTAGCTAGGCTGAAGCAGGGGAGGGGGGTGCATTTTATTAATTAATTAATTAAATGATTAATTAATTAATTAATTAATCTATTTATATATTTATTTTGCTAAGCCACAATTTGTTTACTAGTACTTAGTCCTGTGTGTTTGATCCTCAACACAGCAGTTTTAACACTTACATTACTGTTCTTGTTTGTTTTCAGATGTGCTAACAGCCTGATATCAAAACAGTTGAAGAATTTGGCTGTGTCCCATCATGGGAGACCTTCCATTTTCCTTGCCACTGCTGCCCCCTAGTCCCGCTTCTGATTGGTCCGTTCCTCTGCTGTTGGAACCAGGAGAAAATGATGGTAAGGATTTTGTACTGTCGCTGGTTAAAGACGTTTAATCAAGTGGTGGCAAACTTGTCATATTTGCTGAAGTAATTTTGACCATTATCCGAAGAAGTTGATAGAAAAGATGCTGGGTGACGCTGACACTTGTTGGTACTAGCAGATTGACTTATTGCAGAAAAACTGTTACAGTATTCTTTTGTTTTTATGCTGGTACATGTAGAGTTATGACAGACTGCAGAACATTTCATAAAAATGTAATACTGTGTACCAGCATCATTTTAATAATTTAAGATATCTTTTCATTTTTTTTTTTTTTTTATCATGACGTTAGTTGTCTGATATTGCGTTATAAGGATTGTTTGCATGCAGTGGTCTTTTATTTATAGTCTGAAAATCATGTCATGCAATAACATATTGGATATGATTGTTAAGGAGCTAGATTCCCCAGTTGTGGGATATTTTATTCAGAGCCTGAAAAGAGGAGGATAAAACAGATTATATTGATTTATTCATAAGTTAAGGCAAACTTTATCTATCCCAACCAAATAGTAGCAAGATAGAAGTCAACTGATTTTGAACAAAAACTGGGGTGAGGTATCACAGGGACATATGATTTACTGTGAAGAAAATTGAAAAATACCCAATATATTGCTGTAAAATGGGGTGTATAATATGTGCATCAGTTTTGCCCTGGCGTATCCTGATTCAATATTTGTAAATGTACTTGCATATGTACATGGATACTTGTAACAAATTCCAAAATAAGGAGAAAGGGTTTGAATAAGGGAATATATATGCTTTAAATAAAGATTAAACATCATGAATTTTTACTCCCTGTACTGAGCCTGTTAACTGACAACCCACCACCCCACTGTTGATTCTCACCCTCACAAAATATATGGTCTCCAACACTGCAGGTTATAGACTCATACAACTATGCAAGTATATCAATAAATAAAATAATTTCTATCAATAAAAACAGACAATTCTTCAAAGCATTGGTGAGATAGGAATTACATTTCTTAGAGAAAAGAGAATCTGAGACAACTGTTTGTTAGAAAAGTGACTTCCTTGCTGATAGCTAGTGTGTACTTTTTTCAACTATCAGGGTCATACCATAATATATATATATATATATATATATATATATATATATATATATATATATATATATATATATATATATGAATAAATAAATAAATCAGTGGTGTATAATATTTGTAATTATAACTGTTTAAAGCCATTCTTCAATTACTGTTAATTTCTGTTCACAGTGGAGGGTAAAACCACTATAGTTTCATTATCAAAGCAACATGAGCAACTAAAATTTGCATATCATTTGAAAGGTTTTGACATGCATCTTAAAAGCAAAGAAAATATAAATGTAGAAAAGTAAAACATTGCAGATTGCGTACTCCAAACTTTCACTTTTTTCATTCCCCTATTTTTCAAAGTGGGACACACACATCCTCCCCCAAGTTTAAATGGCTGCAAGAATTATTTTTCAAGAATTTATTTTCTAAAAGAGCGCTTCCTGCTTAGTTGGTAACAGTTACCCAAACACAGAGATGGGAAAAAATCTGGCAAAACCCACACCTTACCACATTTTGGCTGATTTTCTTTATGGAATGACACAAAAGTATTTACATTTGTGTTAATTTCAGTCAAAACTACAGAAAATACAGAAAATGTACTAATGAGAGTGGCATTACCCCTTTGTGATATCAATATGGCCTCTTAAAACCCTCCTCTCCTTGTCCTTCTTAAGTGGCATGACCACTGAGTCTTCTGCCTAATACTGAGTTGATGCACAGCATGATTAAGCTTGTTGGTGACAATCACAAATAGATGGGTTATGTAAAACTTGGTTGAGAAATCAGTAGCATTCATACTGTATACGTTTAGCAATAACAAGTGAATGAGGTGACAGAGGGGGAAAATGTTTTGATTTTTTTAGAATGATACGAAGAAAACTTGCGGTAACAGTTTGCAAGAAACCTAAAATTTTGCTAAAAGCAAATTGACCATTGCAAGGTGAAGACTTGATCTATGTGATTTTTCACCTTTGCCCATCAAGTTGCTGCCATAGAAACTTACAAATGTTTCATCTGTCTCTGCATTTTACCCTCAGACAGCAGTTTAAGGTATAAATTCTATTCAGTGATATATATTTTTCTCTGATTCACCAGACACCCGCATGTTTTCCATGGATGGTCTTGTCAACAGTGAAAGACAGCAAGAATACACAACTGTAGATGGCGCCAGTGTTAGGGATAATCCCAGTCAAGAGATGGCAGTGCAGGGTAGCTCACAAGTAAGCACAAACATTCTGGACAATATTTATTAACTCATCAGGCGATAGCTCAACTCTTTAGTACCATTTTTAAGTACTCTCTGTGCGTGTGTGTTTACATACTGTAGATATTTTGGTAATGTTGATATATTTCTGTTTTCATTAATACCCACTGATGTTTTTCACAGGGACACTTCGCCATAGGAAATGGTAGTGGACTGCTAGATGACAGCACCAAAGGCTGCAACAAACCAGTAGATGGCACTTCTTCTCAAGGAGGGCAACAGAACAGTGGTTACCCTTTTCCAAGTTCACAACAATGTGTCTCTAGTACTGCAATGACTGGAGGGGATAAAACTGAGCTTGAAGACCAGGAGAGCAATGTATTTCATAAGATGGAGAGCATTCTCTCAGAACAGGACAGATATGAAGAATCCACTATGGCAGTACTGGCAGAGGTATGATCTCAAGATAGTTTTAAGTTTAAACAAGTTTAAGTGTATGATCAAAAATAAATCCTCAGTTCTTGATATGATTGTAATTTTGTTGAAAATCATTGTATTCGTTACGTATATCAGTACATGTGATGTCNCAGAGAAGTCATCTTACAGGTAGACAATGCAGCTCAGTTTGACAGCAAAGCAAGCTCTGTTCTCCAGTGGCTCGATTGTCGTCATCGGACCACGTGACCACGTAGCTCATTAACTCCCAGGCCAAGCAAATAGGACGTTTTTTAAAGCCAAAAATTTACAAAATGAGCTTTTAATTTGTGTATTTGAATAAAGATATCGTTAGTTGGGCATGTTTTCTGAAGAATATGTTCCGTTCAGGCCATTCTAACGGCAAGACGCAAATCCTTTAATGATGATTGGTCCCACATTTCAGCTCCAGGCATTGGCGGAGGACAGTGCAACATTTCAACCTATGCAGCATAGTGCTGTTACCACACAAAATAGAGGTATGCTAGATGGACTCTCTCTCTCTCTGATCATCATCATCATCAACCTTAGAATACACTGGTCAATCTCTCTCTCTCTCTCTCTCTCTCTCTCTCTCATCATCATCATCAACCTTAGAATACACTTTGGTTAATCTCTCTCTCTCACTCACTCTCTCTCTCTCTCACACGCTCGCGTGCACGCACGCAAGCTATTTGCATGTATGGTATTAAGTTCATCAAAATGCATCATTAAGGTTGATATTTCTTACATTTCCAGATCTGAATATACAGGATCAACCCCCAAAACCAAGCCTTTCTACCTGTTGGGATAGTGGTCATATTGGTGACCCTCCTGCTCAAGGGAATGTTTCTGAACCCAGCGTCCCATTAACACCTTGTGAGGAAGGGGATATTCAACCTTTAAGGAAGGATGCACCCCAAGCAGATGCCCAAAATGAGAATGCTAATGTTTCAGATACATTGTTGAGCCCCATAACATCTGACATTGGCGCAGAGGCAGACCCAGTACTTGTTAAGGCTGGATCATTTTCTGTGGAAAGTAACGATAGTACAGCCATGGAAACTGCTGCGGCAACAGGGGATAAAATTGGTGCTGAAACCATGGAGACTGGGGATATAACAGGTGCTGAGACTGTGGAAACTGGTGTTCTTCCAGGTCCAGAAGCTAAGAATGAAACAGAGAAAGTTCATGTAGAACTTGAAAGTAAAACGATGTGTGCAGGATCCATGGCAGTAGGTGATGCACCAAATGAACAGGATAAGATAAAACCTGATAAAGCACACTTGGAATCCACAGCTACAGACAGCAAAACAAATACACCAACCTTAGATATGCAGAGAGAGACAAGTCCAGTGGTTATGGAAATTGATGACAAGAACACCCCAGGTTCCATATTAAACAGTGATGTAAGTTTAACAAGCTCTGCAAAAATGACAAGTTCCCCTTCCCCTTCATCTCCACGGAGGCTACTTACCCACAGTTCCGAGAGGAAAAGGTCATCACCTAATCCTAGTACTGCGGTGAGGTATGAAATACATTGTGGAAAAATAATGTTCAAAAGGCGTGCAAAGGATGGCGAGGCTTCATCAACTCCGCAGTCAAAACAACAGCCTCGCAGATCAAGAAGGAGAACGGTGGTAAAAAGTGAACCTGTTTCTCATTCAAGAGGGAGGCATGGAAGTTATCGTAGCACCAGTCCAAGAGATGATGGAGTTGTAGAAACTGCAATGAAAGGAAAGGAATGTAAAAAAAGTCGAGATGTCACTGAGGATGGTAACTCAACAGTTTCCAACATAAAAATTTCAAGACTGTCTGGCTGCAAAGATGCTTCTCTAGCAACTGACCTTGACCCTAAAGTTGACCTCGAACATCCACCTGCTGTGGCAGAGTTGAGCCCCAGCATGCCTGTGCTTGAACCTGAAGATGTGGACCTTTTGAATGTTAATGAACAGCAAAATGAGAAAGAAGCAACCAAATCCTCTTCTGTACCCGCCATAGATGAGGTTTTCACGAAGGCAGGTAATTCTCAGTCAGGAAAGATGGATGCAGGGGAAGGAGTGGCAGATAAGGTGGAGGCACCTGTTGTCAAAAATATCCCTCATAGCAACGTCCAGGATATAGGTGGCACTGGGACAAAAGGAACTGAATGCACTGAAGGGCTTAAAAGTGCAATGGAAGCTGACCAAGAAAAAACAGCAAGTTCGATAACAAAGAAAAAAATTGATGCCCACAAGCCAAAGCAGGGTTACACCTTAGATGTTGAGCCAGTTTTTGAAAAGATAAATTCTTGGTTGAGTAATGCGGATACAAAAATTGTCATGCTACCAGAGGCACAACAGAATGTAACACCAAATGTTTGCCAAACAGCTGATGAATTTCAGAAAGGAACAACAGCTTCTGGGACCACAAAACCAGCTGAAGTGGGTAGTTTGGTCGGGCTGAGTGCGAAGAGTGATGTTGGAAATGCTCAAAATGTGAAGTCATGTCTGATGGAGTCTAATGACCCTGCAAGCATTAAAGTACAATTTTCGGAAACAATTGAGCATGTAAAGGGGAATTTATCCACATTGGCTGGGGAGGTTATTGGCAGTAAGCAAAAAGAAGGCAGCCTTACTGTACAGACATCTGGAACAAAGGAAATGGTCCACAGTGCACCATCTCAGAAGCAAAACGTCAGTAACCTTCAGCAACCAGTTTCTAAGGAGGATGGACCTACAGTTTCACCACAAACTATATCGAAGAAAAGAGAAGAGGAAAATGTAAATGCTAGTACAGGCAAGACAACAAGAATTGTGAAACAGCCTTCAAAAGTCTCAAGGTGTGAACAAGAAAAGTCTCAGAAAACAGGAAACACACAGACACGCAGAAGAGTTGACCCTAGATATGTGAGCCCTAGACCCACCACCAGACCTCGATATGTCACCATTCCAGACCAATTTGACCAAGTTTTGTCTTTGGACCTAGGTCAAAGCTCAACATTTGACCTTGGCCAAGGATTGTCATTTGACCTTGGTGAAGGGTCATCATATGACCTAGGTCAAGTGTCATCATTTGACCTTGGCGAAGGGTCATCATTTGACCTTGGCCAGGGATCTCAGGATGAAACTGATGACATTCTAGAACTGGAGAATTCTATTCAGGAGTGCATTAGCGCTATTATGAAGGGTGGCGGAGGAGAAGATATTCTGAAGGAAACAACTGGCAAAAGGAGGCAGGCTGCACCTCTGCCTGTCCAGAAAACTAGGAGCCCAAGAAGAGCACCGCAACGAAGAAGGTCCAGAGCCATGATAAAGAGAACTCATCCCCGTCCTGAGCAACACTCGCCACCTCCCATTAAGAGGAGGGATCTGGAAACTAGTCAGGAAAAGGAAGCCTTGGTTACACAAGAAAGTACAAAATCCCAGATTAAGGACAATGTTGATGCTGATACTAAAACTGAATCTGCACCAAACATTGCCGAAGGTGAGGCTGTTATAGAGTCAGAGCCTTTAGAGAAACAGACAAGTGAGTCCCAGTCAGATGAAATGTCTTCAAAGCAACAACAGACTTCACTCCTGCCTCAGCAAACTAATTCCAGTGAGAAGAAAAAGTCCACACAAAGGAGGACTTCAGGGAGAAAAAGAAAAGTTACTTTCAACTTAAACCCTGAGACAGTTTCTGTAGAGGATAGAGCTGAACAAACTCAAAGTTTAGCAGACACAGGTCCTCCTGTGCTAGAGATGGAAGAACCTTTGCATCCACTTGAAGAAAATGAAGGTGTGGAAGTACCTGGTTGTCACCATGCCGTGATTGATTCCAGCAGGTCTTCAGACAGTAAAAGTGAACCAACATTAGGTCAGGCTGAAAATATTCCCCCTAAAGATGAGGGCCAAAATTTAGTAGAAAATACAAATTTAGAAGAATCTGATCAACTTTTGAATCCAGTCAAGGCACCGTCTGTGCAAGAAAAACCAGGAACAACAGAACAAACGTTGAAGGCTAATGACCAGGAAACAGCTAAGGAAAATTCACAGCAAGATGAAACAGAAATATCATCTGACAAACCAGAATTGACGCCTGATGAACAGGGTTCATCAAAAGAAGATTTGGTGACAGTGGGGTCTCCAGAGTTTCAGTTTGAGCTGCAGGACTATCATTGTGTTAAGGGTCGCCTAGGCCGAATGATATATCGTTGCGACATATGTCAGGGAATATATCGCCATGCTTTTAGCCTGAAGAGACATTACATGCGCATTCATATTAACCCTAAGTACCTTTCTGGACCAGAACATGGAACAGATGGTGATGGCTCAAGAATTAAATGTGGAGAAGCACCCAAACTGGAAGGTGGAGAGAAATATAAATATGAAACTGAAAAGGTACCCAAAAAAGAAACTGGTGAAGAATCTAAATATGAAAAAGAAAGTGAAAAAGCATTGAAAAAAGAAAGTTATGAAAAATCCAAATATGAAATGGGAAAGAAGGGTAAAGGTAGCAGTGGAGAAGTGATGGAAATTGACAACAAGGAAGTGCATGAAATTGAAAGTAGAGAGTTAGATGAAAGCGAAAGGAAACAACAGCAAAAGGAGTTTGAAACACAGGATGAAACATCTGAAAAAACAGCCAGTCACGTTGAGCTGTTTGAAAGTGAAACTGATCCTGTCGTAGTTAATATTGATAAAGAAAGGACAGATAACTTGAAAGAACTTAAATCAAGCAAAGAACCATACAAAAATGAAGACAAATCTGAAGGAACCAAAAACTTGTCAACATGTGAAACTGGAATAGAAGACTCCTCAAATGAAATAGAAATAGTAGAACACCATAACATTGATACCATTAGGCATCAAAATAGATGTGGAGAAAATGAAAATGATACAGAGGGATCCAGGAGTCCTTGTGGAAAGCCAGAAAACCCAAAGAATTTTGACACAAATGAAGAAGCAATTGCACTTGAAATGGAAACTTGTGAAAATACAAACTCACAAAAGATACAGACATGGAAAACAAATTTGGAGCAAAACCAAATGGAGACAAAAAAGACACATACCAAAGTAGTTGCTGATGCTGCCACAGCCAAAGATGAGCAAATTGATTTTGGTAATGAAGCAGCTTTAACAACCAGGGAAACACATCATAACGACAACCCGCTCGATGATGGACATATTAAAGACAATACAGAACCCACTTGCATTAAGGCAGGGAGTGATGATACAGAACCCAGCAGTGTTCTCAGTGTGGATATACCAGTGAGTTCCACGCAAGGTAATAAAGATGAGCCACAAAATAGAAGCAGACCTGTGGAAATCCAGGTTGCAACTTTAGACAGGCGTAGTGAAGATTTACCAGGGAATGGAAATGATGGAGGTGATGTGAGTGAAGCTGTCAGTGGTGACCAATCTGTTGACAAATCAGAACTAATTGGAGATAGGCCTAAGAGCACAAAGCAAGAACCTGAAACTAGTGCACATCCCATGAACCATGAAGTCCTAACAGGTTTGGAAGATGTTGACAAAGCTGCACCAAATGATGATAATGCACCACTTGGTAACACAGTTGCACCTGGTGAAATGCAAGATATGGAGAGGTCATTAACAAATCCTGGCAATACAAACCCTAGTGACGCACCAGATGACCGCAAGGAAAAGTGTGAAAGCGATGTGCAAGACAATGGAAACGTGGTGTTCAAGAACATAACAAGTACTGGGATGGCCGTCACTGATGTGGGTACTGATCCAGTTAACCTTAAACAAGCTAACCCTTACAGTGAATACCCAGATGAAGAAACAGCTGAACCCACTGGTGAAACTTCCCAAACATGCTCTGATTTTCCAGAATTGGCTTCACCAGAAGACAAAACTAACCCTGAGCATTTTGAAGACTTGCAAGTTACACAGAAAAGTCAACCCACTGCCGAAATGTTGCAAACACGTGGTGGCTGTCTAGATGTAAACATAACTAAACTGGCTGTTGGATCATGTCAGTTTAGTGCTGGACCGGGAGATCAGGCTCCAGTGAAATCTGCTGGTGAAAGGCCTGTACCACTAAATAAAGACAAGGCTGAACTTGCCCCTGAAACGTCTCAACTAAGACCTGAATCACCCAGAGAGAAAACAGAGAGGCCTGCTTTTCAAACATCCCCATCTTGTGCTGATTCACTATATGTTGACACAATTGATTCAAAACATGAATGTTCTCAACCCATTGATATTTCTAGTCATGAGTTACCAGATGAAAGCAAGATGAAACTCTCGTTAACTAACACTGATACAGAAAAACCTAGTGTGGAAGCTTTGGATAATGACTCTGTAGTTCTTTCTGCCATTCACTTAGATAATGAAATAGCAACAGCTTGTGAGGAACCAAAAAACAATAAGAGTGTAAGTAATCATAGTGAAATGGGAATGTGTATTGCAACACCCAGTGACTATGACTTTGAAAAGGAAAATGATTCAAATGCTCATAGTGCTGATGATCAGGATGTTGATTTATCTTTGACTGGTGGAGATAAACATTGTGAAGAACAAGACAGTGCAAAGGATGTTGACAGTGACTATGAAAAGGATGGCAAACCAACAAGTGCTAGAGGTTTTACTCCAGGTGGTGACAAGTTAACCCACAGTGACAACACATTCAAGCATGACACAGCAGTTGTGGCAGTTGCCCCAAACAGAGGCAAAGCAGAGCTTGCTGCACATTCACCAAGTTTAGATATACCAATACCAGATGATGATATGGTTTTAGATAATGAAACTGCTAGTTGTGTGGCAAACACTGAAACTGGTGGAATACAGAAAGGCTCTGTGATCTCAAACGAGCACCTGTCTCATGGTAACCGTGAAGGAGCAAAGGACGAGTCATCATCAGGCACCAGTGTGGTTCCCAGTACTGAAGAGCAAGGCGATGAAAAGGCAAAGTCCTCTCTTGATGCAGGTGCTACAACACCAACAGACACCATTGTGGTCCACAGAAGGGAAGCGCACGATGACAAGAATGACACACCTTGCAGGGATGAAATAAGTAATGCATCAGCAAGTCTCAGTGTGCCCCTCAAAAGTCAAGAAAGAGAACATGATGAAAGGGCTGAAGTTTGTGATGATGGGTCATTCTGTGATCAAAGTAATTCCGGGAGAGATGACCTCGATGGTAAAAACTCTGTTACTTGTTTGGAGGATTCAGTTGAAAACAAAACAGGATCTTGTGTCAGTGGATCCTCTGAAAAAGATGCACCAAGCAAAGTGGCAAATCTTAATCAAGAAGAGATAAAACATGAAAGAGTGATACGTATCGACAAGGAACTTGAGAAAAGACCAGAATGTAATGAAACTGAAGAACCGGCCCAGCATGATCAGGTGGCACCATTAAGTGCTGAAGTCCCAGGTTGCAGAGAGAGAGAACCCGATATGATTGATGACTGCAATGTGGACCTCACTGCTGATTCTAAGGTTGAAGACAGAGTTGATGGCAGAGGCATTAGCACAGAGGACAGCGTAATGGGTTTCAGAAGAAAACCTCACAAACCTGACAGTTCAGAAACCAGTGAGGTATTAGCTCATCGCGATGAAGTCCCTGGTGGTGATCTCACTTGTGATGAATATACTGTGTCCCCTTCAAAATTAGTGTGCAGTCAAATATCTAGTGGGCAAACCTTACTGAAGCCGACTGATGGGGATCTGACAGCCACAATGCAGGCAGAAAAGAAAGCAGGCTACCTTGAACAGAATGAAAAAGAGCAACCAAAGGAGCCAAGGGCCAGAGACCCTGCTAGCAGTATTGGAAGAACAACAACACAGATGGATGACTCTATCACAATCAAGGAAACCAACTTTCCCGAGAACAACTTTCCAGATGTTGTTGAGGGAGATCTCAAGTCAACAGGCTTTGTTGATATTAGTTTGACAAAGTTAATAAGTAAGGACACCCCTGATAGTAGAATGCAAGCACCAGTGGATAAGAAGCCAATAGCTTCCTCTTTCCAAAACTCTGATGATAATAGTGAAAGGACCAAAATGGCTATCCTGAATGTGCAAACTGGTAGTGATTATGAGAACAAAGATGACAAGGCCAACTTGATACCTTTAAATGACTTAACAAGTGGGTCTGTGCCAAGCACTTTGATTTCTTTAGACAGCAGTGAGTCCAGTTCAAGAGAACACACATTATTGGATTTCAGCAGTCAGCAGCATTCAACTAAAGAGACTTCTCTGGAAAATGTAACAGCTGCTGCTTCAGTACCTTTAGCTACCAGCGGTGCTCAGTCTGCAACTCCTGATGTCACTGTTGAACATTTACCCGATTCATGGGATGGTGATCACCAGCCCCAAAACATGACCAACTCTGAAAGTACCTTGGACCCAGTGTCAGTTGTTTCCTCTGGTAGTGCTGATGAATGTAACCCTGTTCACCAGACCCCACCCACTCTTGACTCACAGACTTTGAATACAGATGCCCAGAGCTCAGTAGACCCTTTGAATGCCGTTTCCGCAGGGGATACTGAGGATGGAACACCGTCACATAATTTGACTAGTGAAAGTACACCTTTGGCAAACAGTAATCTGCAAGCACCTGTCCTCGATATGCCTGGTTTGTTTAAGTGCAACCTTTGTACAGAGACATTTAACAGTGCACAAGAGCTAAGAGAGCACCTGACCAACCACCCGGCCCTTCCAGGAAAGGAGACATTCGCCTGCACCCAGTGCCAGATGAAGTTTACCAGCAAGCCTAACCTCATGAGGCATCAGATTGTACACACAGGTACCTTCACTGGTTCTTTGGTCGCATTCAGAACAGTGGACTTACTAGTCCGAGGGTCACTTAGGGTCAACCCACTAAAAAGCTTGCTGTCTATTCCGCTGATAGACACTGAATAGATTTCCCGTGGGGAAGTATTCAAGTGGATTGGCCATATTTGACCCTCGGACTAGTTAGTCCTCTGTTCTGGTTCTGAATGCATTCTTTGTTGTTATTGTTGAGGGTGTGAGGGGTGGTTGGGGAGGGGGGCATAGGAAGATGTATAGTGAGAGAGTGAGGGGAAGAGTGTAAAAAAGATTGGAATGAGTGGGGGGACAGGCTGAGCGAGGGAGAAGAGGGGGAAATGGGTGGGTTTAAGAATGAGAGAGACAGAGAGAGAGCAGAAATGTGTTTCTTATGTAATGAAAGCTTTTTTTATTTTCAGTTTCACCTTTGATATTCTATCTTGACTATACTCCATTAGACTTGGGAGTTCACTGATAAAAGATTTAAAAAAACAAGTTTATGGATACATAACCAATAACTTTTACTGTATGCTTATTTTAGAAGTTACAGTTTAAGTACTGGGCTGAAAATTTCAGACTTAACTGCAGACTTGCTTACTTACAGGAGCCAAGCCATATGAATGTCAGAAATGTGGACAAGACTTTCCAACTGTGACTCACATGCGTAGACACGTGCAGAAAATGCATTGCGGCAACCAGCAAAACCAACATCAGTGTGATAAATGTACTGAGTCGTTTGCTCGAAAAGTCCTGTTGATGAAACATATTTCAAAAGAGCACAGCCATGATTGTGAGACCTTAACTAAAGGTATAAGACTTTGTGGCTTACGTTCTTGGGCGTGGGGGAAGGGAGGTGGGTTTTGCTCCCATTTTGAAGAAAGGCAAGGTCACCGGCAATCCGTAAAGTTTCCTTATAATATTAAGATAATAATGACGGGATATTTGCATATAATACCTTGCTATCAAAATTATTTAACATAGTTTTAATGATCACTATGAATTAATTTTTTCCTCTTAAACAAGTAATTACTGAGGATCCAAAATTGATTTTCTTTGTCCATATTCAGTCTCATATAGAATCTTTTTTTGAAGCTCATTGATGAATTGACAAATGCCTTACCTTCTCCTGCTTTTTAAATTCACATAAATGATGTATCCAGACAATTAAAAGTGTTTAAAGCCTCAAATATTTAATCTCGAGTATAAAACTTGGATATCTTTTGTTTGGGTAATTCTTAGTATTGCCATGGAAACGAGGTGGTGTGGGTTACGAGGCCAATTGATGATATTCATTTAATTATTGGCTGATTTTGGAAAGTAGCTGTGAAATGCTTTCTTTATATCTTTATGACCTCATATAGCAATATTTTTGTTTTTGTTTGAATTTGAAGGTTTTAAACATGACATGTTTAAATGGCTATCAGTTACTTGAACAAGCACATGCCCTTAAATTTCTCAGGATGTATATTTGTTCTCTCTTTAGGTGCAAAAGCAGATGAAGTTGCTATAGGCCCTGATGAGTCGATTGCCTGTCCTGAACAAGAGAGTGTTTGCACAGCTGAGGAAGAGAGAATGTCCACTGAAGCTGAATCTCCAGTGCCAGACACTGCAGGGGAAGATGTGGGCCAAATTACAGAAATAACCAATAAGGTATTTATACAGGATATCCAGATATGAGAGAGAGAGAGAGAGAGAGAGAGAGAGCAGGATATATGAAGATATACATGAAAGAGTGCAGGATAAAGAACATATGGATATGAGATATGTATTTTGACATGTCTCTACTTATTAAGACTAGCAGTTAAAGTGAGGGGCATTGCCTGACATGTTTAAATTAAATGTCTGATATTTTCATTTTGCAGGAGGGGGAGAGCAAAAAGCATCTCTTCCCCTCTCTCCCACTCACCCCATTCCATCCATTGTAATTAAATTGTGCTAAGGCTTACAGAGCTAACTCGATCAGCTTACCGCACTTTTGCTTTTTTATTGCAGGAAGATGTTGTAAGCTGCAGTAGTAGATATGAGGAGAAGCAAGGCAGCGAAAATGATGAGGGCAGCACTTCCAGTGATGGTTTGAAGACAGGCCACAATGGCCAGCAACATCTCACAGTGAAACACAATCTTCGACAAACTCGACAAAGAGAGCAGAAAGACAGCTCTAGAGGTGAAACCACATCCACTTTTTCATATCAGTGCATTGTGTGTAAAAAGCGTTTCCCAACTTACAGCCAAATGTGTCGCCATCGCAGAATGGCCCATGAGCGACCAAAGGCCTTGATCTCACGTGAGAAGGAGAAGAAATCCAAACCGCCTCCTAAAGATAATGATGACTCTGGTGAACAGGATCTGAACTCCAGAATTACTTTTTATGCTCATATCAGTAGCAATGTGGCTGAGAACCTAAGATTTTATTTAGATGGCAAGGATGATGCTCTTTCCAATTTCCACAAGCATTTAAGGCATTATGATAAAGTGCATGGATTTGGAATTTTACCAGAGCCAAAGTCCGTAAAGCTGGACCTCAAGAAGTTCAATTTTACTGATGAGGAGATTGAACTAATTGAAAAAGAACAAGAAGATAGGAGACTTGGTCAGCAGGAACAGCTACAAGGGATGGACCAAAATTCGGCCACAGGCAAAGTTATAATGAATGATGCATTACAGGCAGAACAGCATGGAGCAAATTCAGAAGAATGTGAAAATGATAATTCACAAAGTGCAGAAGTATGTCCTTCTGAAAATGTCACAGTGTGTGCTATATCACATCATCTGGCACATGCTAATGAACATAGTATGTCTTTGAACAGGCAGGAGAAAGAGGGAGGCCCACCAAATCCTTCAGTGAGTACATCTGTGGGCATGCAAGAGAAGGAGCATGGTCCACCAAGTCCTACAATGAGTTCGTCTTTGGGTAGGCAGGGGAATGAGGAAGTTTCACCAAGTCTTACAATGGAAGGAGGATGTTGGGGTGAAAAGGCTGATGAAGAGGCACACCAAATTACTAAAGTAACTGAAAAATGTATAGAAAACCAGGGGGAAAGCAATATGGAGGTCACCAATATTCAATGCGCTGTTTCGGAAGAAAAGGGAAGAAATGATGCAGTTCCTTCCTGGAAACAAGCTTCTTTAAATGAAAAAAGTGAAGTGTCTCAATTAAAAGGGAACTCTACTGAGGTTAACCAAAGTGAATACCCAAAGCCTGAATCAGATTCAAAGTCCATTCCTACCAAAGCTCTGAAAGCTTCTTTGGCACCTGATCAAGAAGAAAATATTAATACAAAATCCACAGAGATGTTGCCTGTATTACCACCTAGTGCCGCAGAACAAAATGATTGCCATTGTGAAGGTCAAAATCAGGATAAGGATACTTCTATAGAGAAAGAGCAGAGCAAATCACAGGTCAGTGGTGATACTGTAGGTGGGGAAATACCCGTCAACATAGCAGAGGACAAAAAGACAACTATCCCAGCACTACCAAGTAGCATCAAATCAGATCAGTCCTCTCAGATATTTAGAAAAGAAGACAACACGCAATCAAATTCCAACAAAGCTACAAGTGAAAGAGAAAAAAAAGTTTTTGGGCCACAGGTAGAAGGAGGACAGTCACAAGTGTTGGAGTCAGCTCAATCAGAAGAAACAGATGGACAAAACTCGACTGAAGGAAAATACAAGAAGCTGCCACTTATTCACAGATGTCCAGTCTGCAAGATAACCTTTGACATTGCTGCCGACTATATCAACCACCTGAAAAAGATCCATGGCATTGAGCTCCCAGAGGATCTTCCAGAAGAAGACCCCAAATTGACAACTGAGGTAGATGGGTCGAAGCAAACACAGAGTAAGACAAAACTTGCAAGGAACATGGAGAAAATCCGTTCCCTTAGGTCATTCAGGAGAGGACAATCTCTGCAAAGCATCCAACAGAAGAGTATTACAGAGGGCGGTGGCAAGGGAGATGTGGATGAATCTTCGAGGAATACAAGGTTTGATGAAGTCTCACAGTGGGACCAGGGAGTGGAGCAATATGGTCGCTACCCTGTCCAGAGACGGTATATTTGTTTGGTTTGCTGGCAGGATTTCCCAGACTTTGACACAATATTTGAACATGAAGTTGCCGATCATCCTAACATATACTGCCGCCACATTATGATAGAGAAAGCTTTTGAGTGCCATGTGTTCAAGCATGTCCACAAGCAAACCAAACAAGTGGCAACATCCTACAACATGACAGCAGGGAGTGGTTTAGAGTCAAAATGGACCCCCACTACCGAGAAGAGCCCCATGTTGCAGAAACCTAGACCAGCAACCTGTACTAAATGTGGAAAAGCATTTGACAAAATGGCTGATCTCCATGCTCATATCATAGATGATTGTGCAAGTAGGGGCTCCTTAGGGAGTGCTCATGTGGGGGCCTCAGAAGGGGTTGTCAAGACGATAGAGGACAAGACAAAAAGAAGGGGAATCAAACACCGGAATAGTTAATCTACAGGTAGTCTCAACGGAAGTAAAGAAAACCTACAATTCTAAAGGATTCAAAGAAAAGAGAAGTGAAGGGAGGGAGAATACTGGCCTTGGAGCAATTGAAAAAATAAAGCTTAAGCAGCCAGTGCACATAAGTGGTGGAAGCAGTAGTACAAGAGATAAGGGGAAATTTGCAAAGGATACTACTCAGTGGGTGAGAAAAAGCATGAAACAACAACAGAAAAAAATTGAAGCAGTTTCAACCAAGTTGAAAAAAAGGCAGCAGATGAAACCATGGAAAGGTTCGCCATTCAAATGTCACTATTGCTCAAAGGACTGCGGTAGCCCGTTGATGTTGAGAAAACACACTGCTGTATGCCAGGCCCGACTGTCCAAGATTGCCAGCAAAAGAAAGACTAATACTTCTCCCTTTAAAGCAGCAAGAAGATGCCAGTATTGTGGTAAAGCTTTCGTCTACCAAGGTTCATGGTATAATCATCTTAACATCTACTGTAAGGTGAAGAAAATACTTCTTTCAGATGGAAAAAAGAGAGGCGAGACGAATAACGGCAAGGACAAGGAAGCAAAGAAACACGATGCCAAAATTACAAGGAAGATTGCCCGTGATAAAGTTCCTGTTGATGATAAAGAGAAAAGTGACAGTAAGCAACCCTGTTTATTTAAACAAAAACCTTGGAGATTAAGACGAAACAAAACTGGCGGTATGCTTGTGGCAAGAACGCCCACAGTTGATACCTCAAGTACTGCACAAATACCAAAAATTTACCAGAAATACAGACAGTCCTGCATCTCAGAGGGCAGGATCGGACATTGTCAAGCAGGAGGACGTCCATATCCCATTAAAATCAATACAAAGTTCTAACAAAGCCTTGGTGACAAGAAAACCGGCAAATGCGTTCAGGATTGCTGAGTCTGCTGCAAGTCAAAAGATAGCAAAGTCACGCAAAATGCTCTCTAGCCAGCCACCGACTGGACTGAGACCTAAGGTGAACAAAGCTGGTGGCAATACTAAAGGAAAGAATCCTGTCAGCTCTGAAAAGATTATTCAAAACCAAAGCCACATTTCGGCCACCAAAGTCTCCAATTGTGATTCACAGCTAGAGACTCTTTGTGGTAAAGCATCAGCTCTAGAACGCCGCAGTTCCTCTACTGATGATCGTATTTCTAAGCTGATCAACAATCTGAGGGAGAGGATTCAGGACAAAGGTAATATACCATTTGTATCGAGGGAAACAAGTAACTCACTTGGGGAAGAAGCTGAGGCAGCATCATCACAGTTCATTACATGTGTTCAGTCACAGAGGAGTGCTACAGGGAAGGTAAATAAGAGAGAGGGAAAGAGTAAAGGAGATAGTCCCATAACATCAGCTTTAGAAAAAGGACAAGCCAAGATTATAGAAAGTGCAACTAGTTTTATTCACCCGCAAAAGAGAAAGAAAGCCGAAACCGAACAAGGTGTCAAAAAAATGAAAGTTGCAGGGGTTGAACAACGTTTAAAGACAACTAATAAGAAAACAACAACCAAATCAGCTCCACGGAAAACTATGGGTGTCAGAAAAGAACTTAACAAGAAAAAAATCGAAACTCTGAAAGCAAAATCACATCAAAAAGAAGCCTATGCGGCAAAATCAAACAATCCCAAAGATTCTTCTGTACCTGGACTGGTAAGCCAGGTTAATACTATAAAAAGAGCAGTGTCAGTGCAGGGGCCAAAACGCAAACTCCAGAATACGAAAGGAGCTAGCTGTGGCAGTAAATGGGCGAAGAAAATCAAAACCCCATCACCGGTTAACAGCAAACGTCCTGATCCAAACTTGTTAGTACTCAGTAATGAAGACAACTTTGATGCACAAGATGAGGATGATATACCAATATCACAGCTTATACAGAAAAAGGGTGGTGCGGCAAAGGGTGGTGCGGCTGTTATTTCAAGTGGAAGGCCTTCAAAAATTACAAAGAAGGATGTCCCAGGTCGGCAAACCAGCAAATTGAACTATGATTCTCCTAAAACCCCCAGGAAACCACAAAAGAAATCAAAAAGAAGCACCAAGGATAAGCAGCCAGAGTCTGTCAGTCCCCCAATTACTAACCATCTTAAAGTAGTAAAACACATTTCGCCGAGTAGTGTTAGAGAAGTGAAATCAAAATACGATGCCAAAGACGTGGAAGATATTATTGGACAGAACCCAAAACATTATTCAAATCTTCCTGATGACAGCAATGCAGGAGAATTGTCTGTGTCTGGCAGTTCAAAATCAGGGGATAAATTTTCTGGTTTGACCAAGGCAGAGAAAAAGGCTCATGGATATTTCCAAGGGAAACCGAAAACAAAAAATGGTGGAGCTGTGAAGAAACTGTCACTCCATGGAAATTCCTCGATAGTCAGATTGCCTGAAGACCCAAAAATTCAGAAACGGAATTCTAAATCGGCTGCTGCCAGTCAAAGGGCCATTGAAAAAAGTAAACTGAAAACTCCACGTGAGATTACCAAGAGGGTGGACATCCAACCGCCTAGTATAAAGCAAACCGAACCTTCTTCAATTCCGGAAGAAGGTGCCCTCCAAGACGGCACAAGTGAGCACAATTTGCCAACAGATGTCGCCTCTGTGGATGGATATGATCGAGATAACGAGTCCTACCGAAAGTTTTTGCCCCTTAAAAAGAGAAAGGCGTTTTCAGCCTCATCTTCTGATGTTGACTGTTGAAGAGAAAAGTCACCAGTACAGCGTTAGCTTGTTTTTTTTCCTTGCATAACAACAGGGCCTTTGAGAAATAACTATTGTAAAATGTTGTTATGAAAAAAAAACTTTTGTTCAGAGGAATGGCACTTCATTTAAGTTGAAGTCCCAAGTCCCAAGCATTTGGCTTGTGTTTTTAATGGAATTGTAACTATTAAACGTATATAATGCACAAAACGTACGAATTTGGAACCGGAGGCCCTCGAAATGTAAAAACCATTATTGAAGGAATGTCTATTTAGCTCCACTTCGGCGACCAACTGGTGTTGTAGGTCTTTGAAATATGCGTCTGTCCATTTTGGCACAAGTTAGGACATACTTCATGCCTCTTGGGTCTAACTTTTCAACCAACGATAGTCTTGCTGTTTGTTGGTGACATTAAGTTGTCTGACAAAATAGTCGCCATGTAGTCTGGGTCTCGCTATTTTGATTTTTCTGGTTTAAGGCGGTATGGTTGTCAGCGCTCTTAGTTTGGCGATGTTCAATAGACAAATGCTAAATATTTGCTTCGGGAACGAAACGGGAAGAATCAATAGAACAGATTACAATAATTTCCGTGTTCATTCATGTTTACGTAGCACCTGCGGATATTGTTCTTAACAAAGATGATTGACAATGTGACCCAAATGTTGGTGCAAATAATCTTAATTCCTAATTGTTGTGATTAAAGCTTTTGTTTAGAAAAGCCTTACTGTAATCAAGAAATGATTTTTTTGCATAAAGAAAACCTCAGTTTGTTAGACAAGGTGTCAATTACAGAATCTCCGGAGATTATGTTCCAATAATTATGGAAAAGATTATTGAATCGATAAAATCAAGTTAATATGATAATGTACAAACTATCCCACGTAATTATAAAACGGTATTGTAATGCTTATTGAACTTTCTTAGAGACAGTACCTGTATGTTTAAGAATAATTGTATATTGTTCTCGTATTAAATCATTGAAGAAATCGCTCAATATTTATTAGTTGATAAACGGTGATAAATTTCACCTTGTGTGTTTGTAAATGTTCATGTTGGTTTCCTAAGTATTTAACTTCTTTGTAAAGGGACAGACACTGACAAAAAACAACGTGAGTCTTATCGCAAATCGGCTTTATTCACGAAAGAAAATGCAAAGAAGTGCACGTTACTCGTTGTCGTGACAACTCTCGTAGCTATAACAACCGGATATACTGCGTTGTCATCTGTCCGCTGGATTATTTTCAAGAAAAAATTAGACGAAGCCTGGGGAGAACAAATACTGGTACGGGTATACATAAACAGGCTGCGTCGCTCGCATTTACTCCTTTGGTGTTTTATTAATGACCATTTTGGTATATCGCTGACATTTATTATACTTTTAATTAACCAAACGCGGTAGAAACTTGTGCTGATGAAATTAAAGATAACTGTCCTTTAAGAATTGAAGCGACCCTCATACCAGGGCAGGTGACTTGCTCAGCGGCTTGGATGAACAATCATCTAACCAACGTACGAGGATAAAATGAACATATACTTCCCGTGATAATAATTATTATACATTTGTAACGTCAACGTCATTTGCATCCTACTTTTTGTCTTATGAGAATTATTATTCAAACTTCATTGTTTGGCCTTTTTCACAGGACAGTATTTTCGCTGTGGCATTCTTGGTGATAAAGGCTTTACGTAGAACCTGCAATGAAAATTGGAAACATTTAAAAAATACAAAGTGATGTCATGGTAAAACTAAGAAAATAAAGTCAATTATTGATTTTTATTTTTCTATGACACAAAGTATAATATATATTCGCTGGTTTGTTTTTGGAAAAGGTGGCAACTTTTTCTTCAAGTTGAATGTTGATGAGCACTCTATTAGATTTGATATGATGATGATATCATGATATTCGATATATAAAACATTCAAAAATACATTAGTTAAAAAAGGTGAAGTAAATTGGCTCATCAAGGCGAGTTATAACAATGAATTTCGATACTATAGAACAAAAACACGGACGACTTCATTGATTTGAATTCGTCAGTCTTACATGAAACTCCTGGTGGAATAATTGATCTCGTCTTGCCGAGACGGCCCTCTATCGTTCCGATGAAATCCGGCCATGCAATGGATATTGTGGCATCAGAAATATCCGCCGAGCAGTCCAGTACCCTGTCCCAGAGCCGCATGCCGTGCAGCTTGCCTTTAAACGTGTCTAGAGGTGAAAACGTCTCCAGGCCGTTCAGCTTTTGTCCCAGAACAAAGATGCCTCCGGCGGGTAGAGGTCGTCCCTTCGAAAGATCTTTGCCTCTGTGTTTGAGTGTGCCGTCCTTGTAAAATTGCCAGCTGCCTGTGAATGGAAGACAGTGTAAAAGAACGGTGTCCGGGGAAAATGGTGAAATCACTGAAATGCTTTAACTGTATTCACACAACTTCGTATTGACCGTGCGTGCACATTTTGGGAGAGAGTTGCGAGTCGAAGGTTGGAAGTTTTTGGCTAAGAGTCACTTGCTGCAGCAATTTTCCTCAAACATTTTGCCTGTACTTGTGTATTCTCATGCTGTAAATAATAAATATATCATTGCCTGACCCGGAATATTAAGCAGAGCAAGAATTAATTTCCACAGAGTTGCTCACATTTCCCTAACCCCGTATGAGAAACGAAGAACTTTAACAGGTTTAAGAACTCACCGTCTGATGCCTGCCACGTAGCACATATCTTGTGCCATTGCCCGTCTGCTGCGTCCACTCCCGTTATGGCCTCTTCACCGTTGACCACCATTGCAAAGTTAGTATATCTTAAACAAAAAGGCAATTTATTATGTGGATGTGAATAAAATAGTATAAATGATTATGGATTATTATATTAGCGATGATTGTTTTTCTTCCACCCTCGATCCTTGCATCCGTTTTTTTTTTCGTCTACCTGTTCTGCTTTCATTATATTTGTTCATTCTCTCTTTCTTTCTGGTCACTTTCACATCGACCGCTCCATTTTCAGTGATAGATAACTTAAGAGCCTGGCTTATAACTTAAAAGAGTCGATAAACTTGATCCGGTCGCTTTTATTAATCGGTACCTTAATCTGGGCCTGTGAAAGCGAGCAAAACCCGCTGCAATCACACGTTAAGACCAGTCGAACTGGTGCGATGAATAAAACTCTACCGTTCGTTGTGCAAAAATCCTCTCTCTCTCCTTCTCTCTTTTTTTCTTTCTTACTCTCTTCTCTCTCTCTCTCTCTCTCTCTCGCACACACACACAAGCACACACACAGACATTAATGCTTGAACCAGTAATACTTGTAATACAGGCTTCATACTACAACATACCCAAAGATGGTGAAATTGTCGCCAGCACGTGAACCGTATGATATTGGCGTCCCATAACTCCCATTCACTTTATTGTTGTCACTGCTCTCCATCCAAAACTCTATAGTTAAAGCTGACAAAGACCTGAATGGCATATTAGGTTCCAACTTGATAAAGTCCAACTCGGACGCCTGGTTGAAGTCGACTCCAAAACATGGAGATTCTCCTGTAATCATGTATAATTTGTTTTGTTAAAATTGTGAGTTACTGTTTTTTTAATGTAAGTTTTATCATAACGTCAAAAGAAATGCCCTTCTCAGCTGGGAAAAAAAAGATATAAACATATTCAATTGAAGCACACGAATGATAGCTTGGTGGTTTGGTGAAAATTAATCTAAAATATTGAATATTTCGATAAGGGAACTGTTATTGAGAGTTTTGCTAATTTTTTTATGAAAGAGAAATTTGGTATTTCGTTTACTTGAAAAGACTGCCAAATTTATCGAAAAAAGAGTGACTTGTGGCAAGTATAATGCATACTTTTATTTGATAGTACAGTTTGCCTTTGCAAATAAATGTTTTATTTTTAACGTCCGGATTTTATATAAATACGAAGAATCAGTATAACATACGTGTGCTGCAAGTTTTCCCTGAATAATATGGCTTGCATTTGCATATGAATTTGTTGACGTCATCATGACAGGTGGCGCCGTTGACGCAAGGGGAGCTAGCGCACTCATTGATATTAGTTTCGCAATATCTTCCAGTGAAACCCGGAGGGCATCGGCACTGAAAACTGTTGACCCCATCAACGCAAGTCCCTGGAATTCGATTAATTAATTAATGTAAAAATCGGCAGTTTTGATCAGATTTTGATTTATTAAAAAAAGACAAGTAACATTTAAACCTAAACAAGAGCAATAGAAATAACAGTCAGTTTTTTTATTTTTTTTATTGTCTGTTGTGTTATGCAATTATTCCATTTAATTTGTTATATCAGTCTTTCTGATCTCAAATAATTTGAAGGTACACTATGTATATATAAATTTAAAAATTGTTAGGATAAAACTAACATTTAGAGGCCAAAATTAGATATTCATGGATAAATCCTTGATGATTTTCATTATTATTATTATTATTAATTGATTTTGAGCGTCGAGGGAAGACGGCATTTGACAACGCGATCACGCCCACTTTAATGTTATGCCTTACAGCACCTCTCGTTAATTTGTGTGGTTTGTAAGCCCGCTCACCTTCGTTCTGACAACTCACGTCTTCACAGTCATCAATGTTCTGTGCACACTTAAGCCCCGTAAAGCCAGGCCGACACTGACAAGTGTACTCGTTTACCCCGTCTCGGCAACTCCCTCCATTTTCACAAGGGTTGTCCGCGCATTCGTCGACGTTAATCTCGCACCTGTTGCCATGGAAGCCTGGTACGCACAGACAGGTGTAGCCATTTGCCTTGTCGACGCAAGTAGCGCCGTTCTGGCAGGGGGAAGAGGCGCACTCGTTAATATTCAGGGAACAATCAGCCCTAGTATAACCGGGGGCACAGCGACACGAGTATCTGCAAAATGACGGTTGATCGATAGATGAATGTCGGTACAAACTGCTTATTGAACTATTTTGGCGCCCTGTGTTGGGTTGTATGAAAGCCGTACAGAACTATACGCCGGATAAACCTTTGCGGTTTTCACACAGCCCAACATTGGATCACAAAGTTATGTGATTTTATAAAGTTTATACCAGGTGCAATGAACAGCACTGCCTTCATTTCACGCAGGAACTTACGAGGTCTCTAGCAAAATGTCCATAATGTTCTAACGTACGAAATGGATACTGTGGCGGCCATGTACATGTACACAACAAGGTACAGTAAGGTGTTTTCTTCTTTAAATAGGCCTACACATACTGACAATAAAGCATTTTCATCGGAATATAAACGCAGCAGGTTCTTCAAAAGCTAGAAACATCCGTTCACAAATTTTCTTTTGCCACGAACCGATTCTTTTCAGGAAAAGACATGGCCAGAGACGTCATTGCGGGCCGAAGAATATGTCATGCTAACATTGAAACATAACTATATCATAAAAAAAATAATAAGCTTGTGACATAGAAAATTTGTGATCTGATATCATCAACAAACAGATGTATTTATTTCGGCCATTAGACATACCCGTTCACCCTGTCCAAGCACGTGGCGCCATTCATACACGGCGTGCTCTCACAGTCATCTATGTTCACTTCACAGTTTTTGCCAGTGAAACCAACTGGGCATGCGCAGAAATACTCGTCTATGCGATCTTCGCACCGGGCCCCATTGAGACAAGGGTTAGACAGGCATTCATTAAGATCTGAAAAAATATTTCAAGTGTAAATATTTATTTATTTATTTATTTTTTTATTGGTCTCTTTTTCATTTAGATCTGACAAAAAAGATCTGTGTACGTCCCTTATGTTTGTACCATGTACATGATGTGATCTTTTGTTTAAATAAAGCTTTTTCTACTCGGGTTCGGCAATGTCCCGAAGTCCTATTTCATGTCTACAGATATCTTGCAAAGATTCTGACTATGAACCGAGGAAAATGGATGTCTATTTCCTTGACGACAAGTACTATACCTATGCAGTCTCCAATCCTTGTTTTCCCTTCACCCAGCGTGACCTTGCCGGATGGGCACTCTTGACACTCCGTTGACCTTCCATTTGGTTGGTATGTGTTCTTTGGACAAGGCTTGCAAGGCTGAAGACCATCGACTGACACTGTTCCAGCCGGACACGGACCTGAAACAAAGGGGAGAAATTAAATATGTGCGGTGCTACTGTGCCGTGGATGCTATGAACGCTGAAAACACGAAATAGCGTCATTTGAGCCTCAAAATATGTCACGTGCAAGTTGGGGAATGGTTCTTTGGGTTAATAGAGGCTTTTCCACGGTCACGTGACTTCCGCTAAATTATCCGTGGGAACGCGAGATTTTGCGGGATTTGAAGTTTCAGGGGGAAAGTGTGGAGTGTACACGACGGACGCCATATCGAGGAGTGCTCATTTCAATCTGAATTTTCAAAGTTTCGTAACATGTTAACACCTGA